TTGCTGAGTCTCTGGAGGCCCTAGCCTTGGTTTTCTTCCTCCTCTTTGCGAAAGGTCAAGGGCCCTGGAGATGGCACAGGGTGGTGTGTGTGTGTGTGTGTGTGTGTGTGTGTGTGTGTGTGTGTGTTAGAGGTAATTTAAGATGATCAATTTAAGACGGTCAAGGAACTGCTCAGTGTCTTCCTGCAAGGGGGTGGCAGAGACCGCCAGCCTCCCATCTCTGACGCCAGTCAGTGCTCAGTTTCTCAGTGTGGGCTCCAGGGAGGGCCAGAGAAGGAGGGCAGGAAGAGGCAGGGGACTCATCAGTCGCTGGCAATTACAGTGCTTTGTCATTCTTAATTAGCTCAGTTGCTCTGCAGCCTTAGATCTCCCAGGGCTGCCCACGCTGGGAGGAGACAGCTGCAGGGTTCACTGGGGACAGCAAGTTGGATAGGTGGGGCGGGGTTCCTCAGGAGTATGTCTCCAGGGCCCTCAGGCTCTGAGAGACCCCCACCTTAGAGACACATCGGAGAACAGAAAAACAGAAAGGATGTCCTTGGCTAGGTTGTGGGCACCTCCAGGCTCTCCCCGGTGACTCCAGGGGACCCTGGGAGCACGAGGACTTCCAGTTTCCTGCTCTCGTGTTGGGAACTGCCCACAGCTCACTGCAAATTTAAGGTGACCAGCATGGCTGTTGACTGGGCACCCGCTTCATGCCCCAGAAGTCTCACAAAGCCCTCGAAGGTGGCCTTGAGCCCACTGTACTGACAGGAAAACTGAGGCACTGGTAGTTTGAGGTGGCACATACATAAATGAAGGACTTGGTTGAAGAGCCAAGGCTTGTAGAACTCCAAGGCCCAAGAGATGCTGTCCGTATATGTATATGTGTACAAGCATGTGTAAATGTGTATGTGTGCATTTATGTGCATGTCTTAGGGCAAGAACAGTGGTATAGCTGGGTGGTGGTGGCATATGCCTTTAATCCCAGCACTTGGGAGGCAGAGACAGGCAGTCTCTATGAGTTCAAGGCCAGCCTGGGCTACAGAGTGAGATCCAGGACAACTAGGACTGTTACACAGGGAAACTCTGTCTCAGAAAACAAAAACAACAATAATAACAAAAACCCAAAAAGAACAGTGATATAGGTATAGGAGAGGAGGCCATTTAGATGCTATAGCCTAGGTGAGGAAGCCAGGAGTAGCTGGAAGCTTCTAGAAAAGGAAGCACTGTGAGCAGGGGCGGTGGGCCAGGTGAGCAGGTTAGGGGCAGGCGAAAGGCCAGAGCTGTGTAAAGACAGGATCATCCCCCCCTCCCACCCCCGGGGACTACCGGCTTTCCAGTCACTCAGAGGACTCCACCCAAACAGCGGAACTCTGGTAGCTGAAGTGAAGCCAGCTTGCTCTTGACTCAGGCCAAGTCAAGCTGCTTCCAGTCTCCAGAGCACTCCCTTCCCCAGAACCTGTTCAAGAACTACAACCACAAGGACCCAGCCACAGAGTGGTTTTTTGTTTGTTTGCTTGTTGTTGTTGTTGTTTTTTTTTTTTTTTTTTTGAGATAGTTTCTCTGTGTAACAGCTCTGGCTGTCCTGGAACTCAGTCTGTAGACCAGGCTGGCCTCTAACTCACAGAGATCCACCTGCCTCTGCCTCCTGAGTGCTGGGATTAAAGGCGTGCGCCACCACCACTATCTGGCTCAGTTTGACATTTTTGAGTAAACCGAGGCCCGCACTATTTAAACATTTTGCCAAAGGCCAAGCTCACACTGGGGTCTTCCAGGCTAATCTGCTCTGTCCAGGTAATGGAGGAACAGCAGGTGGAGGGCTGACTCAGGGAGCAAGAAGATGAAAGTTTTTATTACATTTTACTTATTCATGTTCCTGGGGGCAGCGTGTGCACAACATGGTGTGGATATGGAGGTCAGAGGAAAACTTTGAAAAGCAGATTCTTTCCTTCTAGTATGTGGGTTCTAGGGGTTGAACAGGGCCCCTGGCTTCTCACCCAGACCTCTGCCTCTGTCTCAGTCTCTGCACAGAGATGCTAATGGCCCATCCAGTTTGACACCTGCTATCTCACCAGGGTCCTTGTGAGAACTCCAGAGGAGAGAAGAAGCCATTTGACTAAAGCAGGAAGCTGCCTACTCCCCGTGAGAGCATCCCCTTTCCACTTCATTGATTTTTATTACTGAGGGCTTACAGTCATTGTAGAAGTGTTTGTAAAACTAGAACAGATTAAAAAAACAAAACAAAACAAACAGAGAGTACTCGGCATGGAGGCACATGCTTTTAAACCCAGCACTTAGGAGGCAGAGGCGGGTGGATTTCTATAATTTCAAGGCAAGCCTGGTCTACATAGTGCATTCGAGGATAGTCAGAGTTACTTAGAACCTGTCTCAAAAAATATAAATTAAAACAAAACAAAACCCCCCAAAACAGAGGTCTAGGGATGTAGGTGGTAAAATAGATGCTTGCCTTAGCATGCATGAGGCTCCAGGCTCAATCCACAGCACCACATACACCTATGCCGGGCATGCCATGTAAGTCCACTTGGGAGGTGGATGCAGGAGAATTAAGGTTTTCATTAGGCTAGGTAGTGAATTGGAAGCCAGTAGGGAGCTCCATGAAACCCTATCTAAAAACAAACAACAGCAATAAAACCCCCAAACCGGAAAAAAAAAAAACACCTGAATGCCTTGTCTTGAGTACTGAGTATGATTTCCCTGCCCCTGTCCTGGAGTTTTAAGCATCCCAGAATTTCAGATGGAAGGCAGAGAGCCCTGACTGCTGGTCCTAGCCTGCTGTGTGACCTTGGGCAAGTTCCTGCTCCTCTCTGGGCCTTAGCCTCCTCACCTGTGAAATGAGGCTTTGGGCACAGTGACTGCGCTGGAGACCTCTCGCGGCTCTGACCTTCTGTCTCTACTTCTCTTTCTGGGAGCAGCAGAAGGGCCCCCAGCAGCCTGCCCCTCTGCAGGGGATGCATGCCTGACAGCTCCCAGCAAGTCACCTCCGGAAGGACGCGAAGATGCTAAACAGTCTTTGCTGCCCACACAGGGTGGGTTCCCAGGCAGGCCTGATTACCCAGTCCATATGTCTCCCTTGTCAGCCAGACACCACTGCTGCTCTTGGGCTCATGGCCCTGGTCGCTGTTTTCTCTCCAGGCTCCCCAAATCTCTCCGCTGTTCTAGGATCTAGCTGGCCCAGGACAAAAAAGCTAGGGTCTCAGCTCGGTCACCTCCCTACCCACTGCCGCAGCCTTCTGAGGGGACAGATGACCTAGTGTGGTAGAAACTGGACTATCAAGAGAGGGGAAGAGGAGGGTTGGGCAGTCCTTCCTGCTGATAGTCTTCCATCTCCTCTTATACCTTCCTTAGGCACCTGGGGTCAGAAATGAATAAAAAAAAAAAAAACCTTTGTGCCCTTGAGGCTATGACTTCTAATTCAGAGGGAATAACGGGACAGAATTACAATGCTCCAAGTTCAACGCTGTGGGAGCCCATAGGGAGAAATCTAACCCAGGGGTGGTGGTCCAGGAGGGCTTCCTGAAGGAAGCGGATGGATTCTTGAGGGCAGTATTTAACTTCTCTAACTCCAGTCCCACAGGACAGCCCTGTGGAAAAGATCTTACTTTCTGCCTCCTTCACAGATGAAGCCCAGAACGGCCAGACCATGACCATGACCACCACAAGGACCACTGGCCTCTCACTGAGGCTTCTAACTCTTGGACAGCCTCAGGTGTGTAAGGGAGGCTGTGGCCGGCTGCACTGTGCACTCAAGCTGAGCTGTTGGAACAGACAGTTTAGAAAGAGTGGAATTGTGAGTCAGGCACACAAGAGACACAGTCTGCTTGTCTCCCAGCCAGGAGAGGCCTGCGGGCTTCTGAAACTAGCCAGAGGTCACAGCTGTGAGGCTGAGGCACGGCTTCTGGAAGCCAGGTAGTGAGCCCCTGCCTTGGATGTCCTCTGCCTGGGACTCCTTTGGGCACAGTCTGACCCAAGGCCCAGGGTTTTATGGTTAGATCTAATTCTTTGTATTTTGGGTTTTTTGAGACAAGGTTTTTACTTTGTGCCCCTGGATGCCTTGGAACTTGCAGGAATCCTCCTGCCTCAGCTCCCGCTCCCTAAGTGCTGGGATTACAGGTATGAGCCATCATAGCTGGCTCTAGAGTTTTCTAGCTTCCTGGAGTTGGAACAGGTGTGCTGCCTTGGAAGCAGATCAGGGATGGAGCAAGGTTATAGTTTCTGCCCAGGCAGGTGGGGCCGTTTTCTAGAGATAGGCTCATGCTTCATTTGACAAGTAACATGACTCAGAGAAGGCAAGGACAGCCTGGGGTCACACAGCAAGCCTGAGTCAGAGGCCAACGCTCCAATGTCTCTGAGACTATAGGGAGGGGACAGCTAAGAAAGCTGCTAAAGGTGCCTACTATACACTTCCGTTCCTTCCCAGCAAAATTCACAGCCTTCATTCTCTCGTTGGAAGGAAGCCTCATTGCTTTGGTGAGCCTCTCCCTCACATTGATTTAAATGATTTACATTTATTTTGTGTATGTATACAATGTGGGGAGGGCACGTGGGTGCCACAGTTAGCCCCTGGAGGTCAGAGGACAGCTTGCAAGCGCGGATGGTTCTCCTCTTCTACCGTGTGGTCTTTGAGAATCACTATCAAGCTTGGAGCATGTGCCTTTATCCACTGAGCCAGCTCATTCCCGTCAACCACTTTTATTTTTGAACAAGACCCTTGGCGACTCTAGCCCTCACTCTCCCCATCTGTGTAATGGTCTCCAGGTGCCTTTCAGCCGAGCTGTCTAGAAGGCGGTGGGATCCTGTAGCTTGGGACCGGGGAAGGGAGCTGAGCTGGGAGCCTCGGTAGGCTCAGCGCGCAGGACCGCACCGCTTACAGCCACGGGAGTCTGGCCTGGGCGGGGAGGGGCGGGGTCGCACTCTGGGGCGTGTCGGGGGCGTGCCTATGGGCGTGGCCTCTATGAGCCCGCCCCCGGACGTCGCGGGGAGGGCGGGGGAGGAGCGCGGCGGGCGCGCGCCGCCTGGCCCGGCGGAAAGTTTTCCTGGAGGAGTTTTGGCGGCGGCGGCGGCGGCGGCGGCGGCGACCGGAGCTGGCCATGGACGCGCTCAAGTCGGCGGGGCGCGCGCTGATCCGGAGCCCCAGTCTGGCCAAGCAGAGCTGGGCGGGCGGCCGGCATCGCAGTGAGTGTGTGCGCCCCTGGTCGGGCCTCCGCGGAGCTCGGGGCCAAGGTGGACCGGGCGGCCTCGTCCCGACCTGCGCGCCTGGGCCCCGGGGGTCATGTCCGGCTGCGTCTGGGGCGGGTCGGCAGGGAGCGGGCGGAACTCCGGGTCCGCAGGTGCGGCGCGGTGAGAACGCCTAGAGCCTCTCCACCAGCTCCAGCGCAACCCACGGGGTCCCCTCTAGACGCTGGGTCCCGCAGGTCCCTGATCCGGGGGGCGACCTCAGCCCCGGTGCCCCCCGAGGTCCTCTCGTCCTCCTCTCTGGACGCGTCCAGGTAGCAAGGCTGGCGTCCAGGCTATTTTCAAACCCTGTTTTCCCTTGTACCTTCCCTTGGGGGCTGTCCAAGTCCCTGGGCACCTAAGCAAAAGGCAGACTCAGACTAGCTGCCACTTTTCCCGGGTGTCTGGAAGGGCGGAGAGGAGCCTCCCCCAGCCACCTCTCGGGTTACTCTCTGGGAGCCGTCACCTGGCACCTTCCCCTGAGGCCTGAGAAACCTAGCTCAGGTCCCTCCCTTTTTTGGGAGTCGTTCATATGGGATCACCCAGGCCTTCCCTTCCTGGTGTGAAGCCAAAGCCTGGACTCTGGCACACCCTCACCTGCCATCCACCTGGGGCCCTTCGCCTCTCCCACTGGCAGTACCTGCCCACCCCCCACCCCCGCCCCCAGCTTCTTGCTAGCACCTTGCTTTGCCGGGCTCCACCAGGGGAGCCCGAGTTCCCTGGTCCCTAGAGCGCCAGCGTGTCTGGGCCTAGGGAGCCCGCCCCGGCCCCTCCTCTCTCCCACTGCGGTGCTCCAGTTGTGGGCTCCTCCTAGCCCAGACTGGCATTGGGGACGTGTGCTGGTGCCTGCTGGTGGGGGTGGGGTCAGGGGCCCCTTGGGCAGGGCATGTACCATCTTCCACACTTACTGACTCCCAAAATAACCCTTCAAAAATTTGTGGGATGTGACCAGGACTTTGGAGCATGACCTTCCCTTCCAGTGGATGAACCCTGTGGTTTTCTCCTGGGACAAGGGAGAAGGGTGGGTAGGGAAGAGGTCTGAAGGGGAGGGAGCCAGGAAGCAGAGATGAATTTGGAGGAGCAGGGTACATTTTGGATGGTGAGATTTCCCTGCCTGCTCCAGCCAAGGCAAGGCAGGTCACTTGTTCTTGATGATTTTGTTTCCCATCCTGCAAAATGGGGATAAGATTCTTGTGGGGCTGGAGATGTGTGTGGTGTGTTTGTAGGGTGCTTGCCTGGCTTTCAGGAAGTCCCTTGGTCCTAAGGTCTTGGTTCCATCACCATCATTATCATCATCATCATCAGCAGCACTTCACGAACTGTTTTGTAGCTGTACATGTCTGTAATCCCAGCACTAGGGAGCTGGAAGCCTGGGGATCAGAAGTTCAAGGTCATGCTGTGCCAAAAAGTGAGTTTGAGGCCAGCCTGGGCTAGGTGTTAGTTAAGCTGTTGCTAATGTATTTTCCAGCTTGGTGGGAAGGTCTCATTATGTCGCCCAGGCTGGCCTGGAACTTGCTATGTAGACCAGGCAGGCTTTGAGCATCTGCCTCCTCCAGTTGCTGAGTTTAAAGGTGTGCACCACCATGTCCACGTCCTCCTGGCTAAACCTAATTTTTAATCAGGTTTGGCCAGCTCTGAGATGGGGGCCTTAGCTTGTTTGCACCCTGGAGGGAAGCAGAACTCTTCTCCCTTCTTCCTGATCCTCTCAAAGCTCTGAGCTCCTCAGGAGCCTGGCCTGTCTTTGGTTAAGTGTCAAGTTCATAATCTTATTTTACAGAGAAGATCTTTACTTTCCTGGGACTCTCATGGGAGTGTCTGTGTGTTTTACTTGCCTAGGGGTGACTTGCATGAATGCATGCTCCTGCTTTGTCTCTGGTATTTGGCTTCTGTTAGCTCATTAGCTCCTGGGAGGTGACAAAGTTTGGGAATCTTATCTTCGAATCCATTTTAGAGATAACGGACCAGGAAGTGAAGTCCATGGCTCCAGGCACAGAGCGTGTCCTGAGGCAGAGCTTTTCCAGCCTAGGATTTTAGTCACATACCTTGGGTTTTCTGGCTGTTGGGGGAGCTAGGGACCTCCACTCCAGGGTTGGCTGGCTGCTCCCAGGACCAGTATGGACACAGGTTAGAGAGGAAGGCCTTGGGTGTGCCCAGCATCAAAGGTTGGGACCTAGCCAGTCCTTGGGTCTAGCTTTCATGATCAAAGGCAGAGCCTGTTAGATGGGAAAAGGAACTTGCTCTCAAGCCTGAGGACCTGAGTTCAATCTCTGGGTCCCAGTTGGTGGAAGAAGAAAACTGATCCCCAAAGGTTGCCCTGTGACCTCCACACATGCACTCTGGTACACACGCTCCCTCCCCCATATACCTACTAAAGTGTAAAAAAAAAAAATCCAAAAACCTCAGAGGGCAGAGCCGCTGGCCTGACCTGGCAAGAGGACTCCCTCCTTCTCATGGCCACTTTCTCCACCTTTCTGGGAACCATAAAGGTCTTATCTTGGTGCTGAGAATCAGAATATTCTCCCCAACTCATCTGTATTCTTCCTAAAGGTCCTGGAGCGACTTTGGCCTTCAGATTCCTGTTCAGGTTGTGCTAGCCTGTCAAAGAACCCAAAGAAAAAGGATAAGGAAAGACTCTATATGGGGTCTGTTCACATTTACCTATAGGGATGTAAATACTGCTGAGCATAGTCCTTTAATTCACACCTTTAATCCCAGCACTGGGGAGGCAGAGGCAGGTGGATCTCTGAGTTCCCGGCCGGCCTGGTCCACAATCCAGTTGCAGGACAGCCAGAGCCACATAATGGAGAGACCTTGTCTCAGAAACAAAACAAAACAAAAATAAACCAAAACACCAAAAAAAAAAGTCAAACCCCAGAATGTCCATGCCTGAGACAACAGCGGAGACACAGTGAGTCTGAGTATGTCACACTGGTAGTGTGAAGTGTGGCGGTTCTCACTTGTGGTGGAGGAAGGGACAGAGGGAGAAGGCCGCAGATAGTCGGTGGGGCCAGCATCGAATGCTAGAAATGAGATAAACCGGCGGAGGGGCAGCTCTTTCAGACAGGGCAGTGACTGTGTTGTTTTAGAAGCAGCAGTTGCAACGTGGGTCCAAGTGTAGTTATCTGGGAGGATTTTCCAGGGAAGTATGGTCAGGACAGCTGGAAGGGAAGGAAACCCCCACAGTGGACAGTGGGGCAGCCCCGGGGTCTTAGTTCAGAGGTCCCTCAAGGTAGAATTAGCACTGTGCTATCTTGTTCCTGAATGGCAATGGCTGGAGCAAGACCCACTGGATTTGTGAGGTTTGGAGGATGTTGCAGCTGGAGCCCACAGGACTCCAGTTTGCGAGGCACCCCAGGGCACTGGGAACCTCTGGCTGCAGGCCGAGCGGCAGGCGCTGGCGTCTTGTGTCAGAAAGTGGTCTGTGTGGAGGGGATCAGGGTACTCGGTCCTGGCAGCCGCCTCTCTTGAGAAGCTGACCTGGAAGACACAGGTGAGTCCAGGGAGGGAAGAACCGTGCGAAGAACGTTTGGCAGTGGAATGGCAGGTCCGAGGGCCGTTGAACTCGAGGCTCCTCGCAGTCTGGTTACTGAGGGAGGGACAGGATGTTTGAGGAGTCAGGTCACCCACTGTTGACAGGGGTCAGTTCGTTTCTGGGTGGTGTGGCATGTGTCACCCTGCCTTGCATTGGAAGGGGCTTGGTGGTTGCAGGGTGGGGTGTGGGCTTGAGTCTCAGGGCTCTCACTTAGGAGTCTTCGTTGTATTTCTTGCCTGTGATGCTGTGACATAGTGACTTCATAAAACTCAGTAAGCTGCCACATGTGCACTAAAGCCCTTTGTGCTCGAGTGACAGTGACAGTGGCTGGTACTTACGGGGCTCTTGGTGTTGTTTCAGACAGGGTCATGAGTGAGCTCATCTGTCCTCATGACAACCCCACGGAGTGGGTACTGTTACCTGTTTCAAAGTGAGGAAACAGGCACAGGAAGGTTGAGGGACTGAATCTCCTTTCCTTGCCCTAGAGACCTTACCATGTTCTTCTATTATACGCAAGTATGAGGAAGCTCTGGCTGAGGTCGCAATCACTTAATTATTATTCACTTTCGAGAATGCTCTTGGTGGTTTTCGTTTTTGAAATTGGCTTAGTCTTTGTTTTGTTTTGAGACAGGGTTTCTCTGTGTAGCCCTGGCTGTCCTGGAATGCACTCTGTAGACCAGGCTGGCCTCGAACTCACAGAGATCGGGCCTAACTCTGCCTCCTGTGCTGGGATTGAAGGCATGCATCTGCTGCCATGCCTGGTTCTTAGTCTGTTCACATTCTGAGACTTTCGCCATGAAAATCCTGAAAGTCCCACTGAATTTGTCGAAGGTTGTCATGTTCCTGGCAGGGAAGAGTTTAGGTCCCCTCCTAGGATGTCCCTGCAGCTTCCAAGATACCCCCACCAGGCCTGGGAAGCAGACTTGGTGCAGCTCTGATGTTCAGACATCACCTAGCCAGGTCCTGGCAATGGGGGCCAGGGCAGGATGCCCAAGTAGCCCTAGCCCCTCTGGGGGCCTTAACAAGAAAGGAACATGTGGTGCCAGCTGAAGCTAGACTGGACTTGTGGTCTGTCCCCAGCTAACTCCCACAGCAGGTCATCTGTAAAATTACAAAATGAAAATAGCGGAGTCATTACCCACCACAGGGCTGAAAATAACTCGGACTGGAATAAGGCTTAGGACACAGGCCTGTATTTGCCCAAGGGCCTCTGGGAGCTCTGCTTGGGAAGGGGTGCAGCCCTGGCTCTCTGCTGCTTGTGGTGTCTGGTGGTAGGAGACCACACTGGTCTGTCTGTCGCAGGCTCTTTCTTGGGGAAGTTGTGGGTGCCAGGGGCCTCCAAGAACCTCCGTGAAGAGCAAGTCACGTGTCCAGAAGCGCAGGAGAGGAGGCTGCCTACAAGGACAGGCAGGCAGCGGCAGTGGCAGAAACACTCAGGGCGGGGGCCCTTCCAGCATGGCGGCCTGGGGAGCGGACTTGAGGACTCTGAAGAGAGTCCTCTGAAGAGAGGCAGGCAGAGGCAGCTGCGGGGCATGGGTGACGCTGCTGTGGGAGGGATCGGTAGAGCCCTGTTCATGGCAACAGCCGTAGCCAGCATTGAGCAAGCCTGCAGATACCTGCCCTGGGACCTGGCCCTCAGCCTCCTCCTCCTTTGTCACACTTATCTCATTATCTTAGCCACAGTCTAACAGCCCTGTGAGCCTCGTACAGTCGCTTGCTTTCTCTATTTTATCTTCTTTTTGAGATAGCCTCACTATGTAACCCTGGCTGGCCTGGGACTCACTGTGCAGACCAGGCTGGCCTGTGTCCACAGAGATCCACCTATGGGGGTTTGGGGCATGGGCCACCACACTCTCCCTTGATTTGTTTATTTTTAACAGTGTGCGTGTGTGTGTGTGTGTGTGTGTGTGTGTGTGTGCACATGAGTGCGGGTTCCCTCCCACAGAGGCCGGGCAGATGGAACCCCCTCGAGCTGGAGTTGGAAGCGTTGTGAGCTTTCTAACCAGACCTGCTCAGCAGTGCTCTTAACTGCTGAGTCTTCTCGGCTCCCAGTTCATTGTGATTTACGTTTTCCTTTTCTGGACAGTCTTGTGTATGCCAGGCTGGCCTCTAACTGGCTGTATAGCCAAGGATAATCTTTAACTTCGATCCTCCTGCCTCTACTTCCCAAGTGCTAGGACCATAGGCATGTTCTACCATACTTGGTTTATGGGTACCGGGGTACCAGGGATGGAAACCAGGACTTCATGCATGCTAAGCAAGCATTCTACCAGTTAAACAACACCCCAAACTACTTCTCCCCCCACTTCTTCTTCTTTTTTTTTTTTTTTTTTGATTTTTTGAGACAGGGTTCTCTGTGTAACAGTCCTGGCTGTCCTGGAACTCACTTTGTAGACCAGAGATCCGCCTGCCTCTGCCTCCCAAGTGCTGGGATTAAAGGTGTGCGCCATCACCGGCTACTTTCCCCCATTTTATAGAGGAGGAAACTGAGGCTCATGGAGATCTCACTCAGGGTCATTCAGAGTATCAAACTAAGGCCCTTGCCCTTAGCCACTGGGCTAGCTTGCCTGCTTCTGATTAGGTGCCCTGGGAGAGGCTGGATGTGTGGATTACTGTGCATCTCTGGCTATGTAGACCAGGCTGGCCCCAAACTCACAGAGATCTGCCTGCCTCTGCTTCCTAAGTGCTGAAATTAAAGGTTTGTTTCTTATAGAAGATCTCAACGTGTGATCTAGGCTAGCCTCTAGTTTAGAATCCCCCTGCCTCTTCCTAGGATTGCAGATGGGCAGTGCCATGCCTTGCTTGGAAAGAACATTTTGGACATTGAGAAAGTAGATGTTGCACTGTGGGGTAGGAGCTTGTGGGGTGTGTGTGTGTGTGTTCAGAGAGGAGGGGGGGATCTTTCAAACATCCCAGCTATCACTGTAGGTGTCTCCTCTCTCTGACTTGCTGTGTGGTCTTGCACAGGCCCTACACTTCTCTGGGCTTCAGTTGAGTCATCTGTCAAGTAAAGGGTTAGGTAGAGGGTCGCTGAGGCTGGACCTGGTAGCCAGTGTAGAAGTTGGCAGTATTATAGAAAAGGGTCAGGCCAGGGAAGGAGGAATGTAAAAAAATGTCAAGCATTTGAGGTCAAGGAGGAGAGAATGTTTTGACAGCAAAGAGATCACCAGTGACCTTGGCAGGCTTTGGCCCTCTGGAATGAAGTGAGCGGAAGTGGCTTTGGACAGGGGCCAGGAAAGGGCTGAGCCAGAGGAAATGGGAGAGTGGGACCCAGAGATAGGGGAAGGATGTCTGCCTTAAGGCAGGGATGGATAATGAGAAGAGGTCACTCCTGATTGATTAGTATTGCCTGCCTGAGGCCATAGTGGAGAAACATGGAAGCGCTGCTGTCTATTAGCAATGTCTGCCAAGGACACAGGCATTGGGCATGGGGTGTGTCTCAGGTTGGAAGTGGTGGGCTGGGTATCTTGGGCTGTGAAGCAGCAGCATTGGTTATTAGGAAATACTTAAGAACCTCTTCCAACCTTTGACTAAACCAGAGGCAGTTTGCCTTGTGGCAGGTTGTGTGGTCCAGTGATGAGGAGCATGGGCGAGTCAGTGTCTTTTGCACTCCAGTTCCTCAGCTATAGAATGGGCATGAAAGACCTTCAAGGCTGCTGTGCCTACATTGGTTGATACGGTGGCTCTGCTTGTCCTGGAGACAGTGCTGTGAGCCTTGGTTTCTTCCAGAACAGGGAGTTGTTCTGGGGTCCTCATTGCCTGACACAGGACTCAAGATACCACAGGGACTCTGCTTCCTTTTGGAGGATCTAATGGATGGGACGTGTTGGGCTTTAGGTCATCTCAGTTGGGGCTCAGGAGGCCTGGAGGGCATCTTGTCAAACATAGCTGGGGTTAAGGGTGTTTGGGACATTCCTACACTCAGAAAACATTGAGTGCCAGCTGTGTGTCAGGCTCTGGGTAACCAGTCAGCGAAGTCCCCGCTCACCTGGGTCTGAGAGGAGGGGTAATACTTATAGATCTCTTCCCATCTCCCACCCCCCAAACACACAGTGTCAGTGAGGGACAGCGTCTTGCTCAACACAGATCATGAGCCATGAGCCGTGTGAATGAAGTGATGGAGTCCCTGGAACCCAAGGCTCTGGGACATGACCAAAGAAAGCAATAGGGAATCCAGAGGGCAGGGACATGGTAGCATCCCTTGAGCCCAGGATCCCTCCCCTTCCTGACAGTACAGGAGTGTCCTAAAGCTTGTATTGTGGCCTTCCCATCCTAGGTGGTGGGGAAGGGCACAGGACTTGTGTGTGAAATGGGCACAGTCGAGGATGTGCCCTTTGGGTATAGCATTTGTGGGGTGACCTAACAGGGACCTAGGAGGGGCCCTAACAGGGCTGTGTGCTCATCCCCAGTGACCTTGCTCTCTCAAGTAAGCTTGGCCCCGTTTCCCACTGTGTGATGGGTGCCCTTAGCCTTGGCTCCAAGGAGGAAGTGGGGAATGGCCAAACCTTCCCTGGGGGTCTGTACTCCCCCTTTACCTCAGCACTCTTTCCTGCATGAGGACCAGGTGAGGCCCTTCCCAACTCTCCCCTGACCTGTCTTTCAACCTAGGCTCACCCCTCCTCCTTGCTGACATTAGTGATGGCCAGGACATCTTGGAGGACCCTTCCCATGTGCCATGGCTGCAGCCCAGTGGAGCCAGTGACATCATTTAGCTCTAGCCCTAGCCCCTCTCCTTAGGCCTTTATCTTTGCTGGTCCTTACTCCCCAGACTGCCCATCTCTCAAGCAACTGTGGGCTGGGATGTTCCAGCTGGTGGGTAACTCTACCTGTATCTACCATGGTGGCTTTTGGCCCGTGCCTTCAACTCTTGAGCCTCAGTTTCCTTAGCTATAATGTGGGTCTTAGTCAGGGTTCTATTGCTGCAAAGAGACACCATGACCACGGCAACTCTTACAAAGAAAACATTTAATTGTGGCTCGCTTACAGTTCGGCGGTTCAAGTCATTATCATCTTGGCGGGACATGCAGGCAGACATGGTGCTGGAGAGGCAGCTGCTACATGTTGACATGAAGGCCACAGGAAGTAGACTGAGGGTCACACTGAGCGAAGCTTGAGCGAAAGAGACCTCAAAGCCCGCCCCCACAGTGACGCACTTCCTCCAACAAGGCCACACCTCCTAATGGTGCCACTCCCCATGGGGGCCTTTTTTTTTCAAATCACCATAGTGTGATAATCCCCATCTCAAAGAATCAGCCTGAGGACTCAGGGAGGAGGTGGGACCATTCGACCTCAGCATTGACATTGAGATAGCATAGCCAAATCTTGACTCTGTGACTTGGTTTGACTTCCTGGGCTTTGGAGCGGCTGTCTGCAGTGTGTGTGACAGGTTGTGGGTGCTCCTAAGGGTGGATGGGGACAGTGTATGTGAAGCTGGCCAGGTTTGTGGGCTGGGAGATAATAGTTAAAATAAAGATGGGGGTACCCCAAGGGCCCTTTGTAGGTGTGCTGAGGAGGTGGGTGGCGAGAGCCAGGCCTGCTCAGCACGCTGATGGCTGCCCGTCCCGTCCTGCCCTAGAGCTGCCGGAGAACTGGACCGACACCCGGGAGACCCTGCTGGAGGGCATGGTTTTCAGCCTCAAGTACCTTGGCATGACGCTGGTGGAGCGGCCCAAGGGTGAGGAGCTCTCTGCAGCTGCCGTCAAGAGGATCGTGGCCACAGTGAGTGTCCAGACAGGAGGGAGGACCCCAGGCCAGCTCCCCCTGCCCCAGCTGGTCTTGTCCCCAGGTGGGATCTGTATGATGTGGGCTTGAGCCCGGCACACGTTGAATCCCCTGTGTCCAGCTCAGCGGTGTTTATGGAGATTGTATTTGTGGGTAAGAGTCAGTTGGCATCCTCTTCGGGCTACTCTGGCCTTGACTGCTTCCAGCCTTGAGTCCCCACCTCAGGCTCCTGGTGACTCACTAGCTCCAGGGAGGGAAGGAAGTTGTTCCCCATTTACCATGTTCTCACTGCTTGGCTGTGTGGCCCACTAAAGTGTCCTCTCTGTACCTCTGAGTGGGTGTGGGCCCTTTAAGTCGATTCCCTAGGGTGGCCTTGACCTGTGGCTCAGGCCCTGGCCTGTGGGTGGAGCTGGGTCCCCAGGTCATGGTGCCGGGCTGTGGCAATCCGTGTAGCATCCCTCCCAGTTACATGCCTTCCCGGACAGGGGGTGTTGAGCCCCTCCTGTGAGGGCTAGTGCTCACCAGCATCAGGGCTAGTTGGTTGTCTGGTTGTGTCTCAGGAGGGCTGTCCTGGTTTGCTGTCTAGAACACTGACTAAAAAGGAGTTGGGTAGGAAAGGGGTTGTTTGTCTTAAACTTGCATCCAGCCCATTCCTGAGGGAGGGCAGGGCAGGAACTGAAGCGGAGACCTGGGCGGAATGAAGCGAAAGGCTGCCTCCTCATAGCTTGCTCAGCCTGCTTTCTTATATTCAGGACCATCTACACAGGGGTAACCCCCCCGCCAGGGGACCGGGCCCTCCCACATCAATCACCGGTCAAGGAAATGCCCCCAGAGACCTGCCTACAGGCCAGTCTGGCGGTGGTGTTTTCCTGATTGGGCCTCCCTCTTCCCAGGTGATTGCCACTTATATCAAGTTGACAAAACTAACCAGCACGAGGGTGCTGGTTGAGTGTCCACCCCATGGCACCCGTCAGTTGTCTGAGCTGAGGGGCCTTGGAGCAGTGAGGTACAGACCACCAGACAGGCTCCTCTGACCCCTGTGTGCCCCTAGGCCAAGGCCAGCGGGAAGAAACTGCAGAAGGTAACACTCAAGGTGTCGCCCCGGGGGATCATCCTGACGGACAGCCTCACTAGCCAGCTCATTGAGAACGTGTCCATTTACAGGTACGCTCAGCAGGGAGTGGCCATGTCTGCTCTGCCTCTCAGAATGATAGGAGTGGCCTGTCTGAATCTAGGCTCTACAGCTTTCTTTCTGGGGTGCGGGAAACCTCAATTTCCCTCATCTGTAAAATGGGCTGGGGCCAGGTCCTGCCTCCCTGTGCTGTTAATGGAGTGCCAGCAAGTAACCCACAGCTCCCAGGGACGCTGCGATGGTGGCACTACTGTCCCCTAATCAGCTGACGCAGGCTCAGAGGGCCTGTGCTTGGCCACACATAGCTGTGAAACCTGCCTATTCTTTCTGCCCTGAACACAGTGCTCAGCCCTGGTCCTCTGGCTCAGTGTTCCTGAGAGGCCTCATGCAGGAGCTGGAGCAGTAATGGAGATGTTCCTTCTCTGATCCTAGGGAGGTAGGGTCCAGCTCCAGGGGCTTCAGGTTTCCCCTTAGCCAACACTTCGAAGTGCCTGCCAGCTCCTGCCCTCTGGGCACTTCCAGTCTGGAAAGGAATGGAGGGAAGGATGTGCGAGACAGTGTTTCCCAAGAAGGCTGAGAAGAAGGGTGTGCCAGGGGAAACCTGGGAACACCTCCCAGTGGAGGTGGCTCCTTGAAGGATCTGGTTGATGGCTGTCCAGAAGCAAGGGATGGTTAGCAGGAGGCCAGATGCCTAGGATGGAAAAAGCACTTGGGGACATGGCACCCCCTCCTTCCCTTCTGGGGGTGATCAGTGGTGTTATTGAAATAATGTGATAAAGGTTGGGACTGCATTGGTGAGCGGTGAATCTGCTGAGTTGTGTCCCCAGCCAACGGCCCCTCCCCTGACTGAGTCTCAGGATAAATGGAAGTAGGAAGGGCTAGACAGAACAGGTGATGAGCCTCGGGGTGCTGAGGTTGTGGGCAGAAATCTGAAAGGTCACCATTAACTGCAGAGGAAGCTGATATGTCTCCTCTGCACCCACTGGGGCTCCTGGGCGGGTCATCTTCACATCGCCCCAGCCCCAGCCCCAGCTCCTCCTCCAGCCCAGTTCCAGGAGGACTTGCTCATGGTCCTGGTCTCTTAGGAGATGGTCCTGGATATTATCTGGTGTCTGGTGGTGTAGAGTACAGAAGGGCAGCGGTAGGCAGGGCAGTGTCGTGCTTCTCCTTCCTGTCAGTTGACCCAGACCCCTGAGGTTGTGGTTGTGAGTTCACAGCCTGGCTCTATCAGCAGCGTTGTGTCCCAGACCCCCAGCTCAGAGGATGGCTCAGAGGTTGAACAAGGAAGAATCTGTAGGTCCTTGGGGCGTTGACTGGTATGCAGTTGGGTTGTGGCTCAGTGTGGCATGGAGAGAAAGAAGAAGAAGGCACTTCATTCCTTATTCCCCAGGTCCCCTGCCTGGCCTGAATCTCTCCCTGTAGGTGACTCAGGATGCCAAGTCCAGATCTGCAGAGGCTTGCCCTGGTGGAGACCAGGCAGCAGACTCTCTGAGACCCAGGAGAGGCACATCCAGATGTGGTGAGGTGCCACGCAGGCCTGGTGATACTTCTCGCCTGCTTTTCAGGATCTCCTACTGTACCGCAGACAAGATGCACGACAAGGTGTTCGCTTACATCGCCCAGAGCCAGCACAGCGAGAGCCTGGAGTGCCACGCCTTCCTCTGCACCAAGCGGAAAGTGGTCAGTGGGCGGGCCGGGCCCGGAGGGGACAGTCACAGAGATTTAAACACAGGAGGAAATCCCCGGGAATCTCAAGTGGGCGTGAGAGTACACTGTGAGGGCTGGAGTCAGAATCAGGCCAAGACTAGCTGGACTGTCTGGCTGTGGGCAATGAGTATAGCCCATGTCCCCTGGGCATATGCCTCTAGTAATGTGATTGCTTGGGTTTGAGGCTGTGACACTCTTGTCATTAGTATAGTCTGGGGTGCAGGCCCTGTAGGAATTAGCTTTGGAGATGGGAATCCAGAGGGACCCAGTGCAAGGTAGAAATGAGTCTTCTCTGGACTAGGCTTTCTGGGGTCAGGCGGAGGCCAATGGCTCCTTTGCAACCTCCTCTGTGCCCATTTGGGAGCTGGGCTTCAAAGTGTTTTTTTACTTAGTCTCCAGGGCAGTTCCATAAGGTGGAAATGGTTAAGATCTCTGTTGCTTTTCTTTAAGTCTTTTGATTGCAATAAGACACACCCCAGAAACCAGCAGCTTTGCTCATGATAACACAGCCAGCCAGGTGCAAAGTGAGGCCCTGAGCCCACAGTCCCTCACCTCTGCACAACTGGGAGACTGAGAGCTTCCTGTCCCTGCCTTTGGCCACAGCTGATGGGGCTGAGTGATGGAGGCACCTTGGTGGTCTCCAGCCCGTGCTGTGACTGGGGAGCAGCAGGAGCTGTTCTGACTTGGTTGACGCCTTGGTTTCTGGGGCCTTTGAGGATTGAGTGTGAGGAGGCTCCTGGTGTCCTCTGGCTCAGCGTCTGCATCTGCCAACAGCTCAGAGCCTGATCACCAGGCCCATGGTTCTCAGAGGCAAGGAGATGAGACCTTTTCCTTCTCCATCAAAGGACACACGGGAACTCCAGTCTCTGGGCCCCAGGTTTCTATTATCAGATGAGTTTCTCAGGGCTGCAGGAATAAATGACAACATCCCCTTCTAGTCCTAGGAAGAGGCTGGAATAGGCCAGTGGGCTTGCGTTTCTTCAGCAGCCCTGGAGAGAGCCATGTCTTCTCTTTCCTAACTTCCAGAGTACCTTCACAGTCTACCTACAGTCCTGGCCTCATGGAGCCATCCTCTATTTTCAGAGGCACCTGTGGACCATCTTCCCATATTGTGTCTCTTAGTCACTGTGAAGAGACACCATGACCAAGGCAGCCCTTAGAAAAGGAAGCATTTAGTTGGGGCTGGCTTACAGTTCCGAGGTTTAGTCCATTATCATCATGGCGAGGAGCATGGCGGCGGCGTGCAGGCAGACCCAGAAGCAGTAGCTGAGAGTGAAGTTCTGATCCAAAAGCAGAGAGAACATCAGGCCTCATGTGGGCTTTTGAAACCTCAAAGCCCACCCCCAGACATACTTTCTCCAACAGGGCCACACCTCCAAAGCCTTCTAATCCTTCTCAAATAGTGCCAGCTCTGGTGACTGAGCATTCAGATACACGGGCCTGTTCTTACTCAAACCTCTCCACTGTCCATTCTCACACTGCCGTTTCTCTGACCCTCCCTCTCAGGCCCCTGTGGTGACAATGGCCACTGGATAATCCAGATTTATCTCCCTATCTCAACACCCTCAATCTAATCCTGCCTGTGAGGTTTGGTTGCTGTGCACGGGACATCAGGAGAATGAGAACAGCTGGTGTGCTGTGTAATCATGGGTGAACGCTGTCCGTCTCTGTCTGCTTACCTATCAGCAGAATGAGGAGGTCACCTCATTGACCCCTAGGATCATTCCAAGGCCCCATTTCTTTTGCATGCCTTATCTCCTTGCAGACTCCTTGTTACCAGTCATCCCTCTGGGATCCTGCAGGGCTCTGAGCAGTGGTGGCTTCTCCCATGACAGCCTGGTTCCCACAGATGGCTGGAGCCTTTGCTGTGAATGAGGTCACATTGACTTAAAACTACAGACTCACTGTGTTCCCGCTGTTTGCTCCTTCCTCCTCACTGACCACAGCAGGCAGGGCTGCTGGCCCTAAGTCATTGCTGCCGTGTGTGGGCACCCGTGGGAAGGGCATGCGGTGGGAGGGGCATGATCACGTGAAGCAGCTCCCTCCGGGATGGGGTTCTGTGCAGAACAGGGAGCAGACCCAGCCCTTCAGAAGGAGGCCTGTGCCCGAGGCTATCCACAGCCTGCCCCAGGTTAGAGAGCATTGCTCAGGAAAGCAGAAGCCGGCTACCCCATGGCTGTGGCTAGTGTAGCCTCGTGGGCTAGGGGCGGGGCTCTTGCCGGACACCCAGCCGCTTGTTTCTCTGCGTGACTTGGCTGTGGTCTGTCTTCACCTATCTCTACCTCTTGTCGCCCAGGGTTTCCAGGTCACCCTGGAGTGGTATAGGTTCCTCCCAGGGCTTCAAGACCTTAGCTGGGCTCTAAGGCCCAGTGGGCCAACAGTGTGGACAACCTTCAGAGATTCCCTGATTAGCTGAGGGAGAAGCAGAGATGAGTGGGGGCCTTGGCTCTGCTCCACCTTCTATCAGCTGTCTCCAGTTTGTGGACAAGGCTCTGCAGTGTACAATAAGGACCTGCTGCATAGGTCTGTGGGGGAAGGGCTGGATTTGACACTGAGTCTGGGGCTTGGCTCTAAGGTGGAGGTTTTTGGACCTGGAGGTTAGGGAGATGCCCAGAGACTGGAGCCTTAAAAGATGAGTGGAGTAGTGAACAGGAGTGTGCCAGGCTGAGGGCTTAGGGATTGAGTGTGCAAAAGTACAACTTGATTGTGGTGTGCTGGGCCTGTCAGCCTACAGGACCCATGGTGCAAATGTGGTCCTCACTGAGTCTCCACCTTTCCTTGTTGGCCAAACAAGAAGCTTGGAGAAAGGGGTTCCTTCTGGGGTCCCCCACAGTGCAGCCCAAGGACTCCCTTTCCTGGTCTTGTTTGAGCATGATCAGAAGGTCACTGCAAGGAAGTGGTTTCCTATACTCATGGGAGAGGCCTCAGCTTAGCAAACACAGCCTCTGTGATCAGAAGTGGAGGTGGAGGAGGCTGGGCTCCCCATGTGGGCGTAGGAGACCCCAGTTCTGTCCGGCAGAGGTGACAGGGCTATTTCCTTCACGTGGACCTTAGTGTTCTGGAGGGATCTTTGTGTAGAGATTAGTATGGGAGCCAGGGAAGCGCTGTTGGTGAGCACAGGGCCTGGTTTGGGCTGCACATCTGGCCCTCCTTGACTTCCTGATATAGCCTGCTTAGACAGAACGAGATAGGGACATGGACAGCTGGACCAAGAGGAAGCTTCTGGGTCATAAGACAGATCCACAGCAGAATCCCAGGAGGGCCGTGCAGTGGCCTGGGGAATGCAAGTCTTCCTGCTGAGTGTTCCTGTGACTCATACATACTGCTGAGGGTCCCTGGGGAAGCAGGCCACCCCGAGGCCTTCCCAGCCCAGCCCTGCAGTCACCTACACACATTGCTTCACATATCTGCTCGGGTTACATGTTTATTATGACTTACTGTACAGGACACCAGGACAGAGGGGCAGGAATATGTGCAAACGAACCAGATTTATGTAAACAGAATAAACCCCTGTCCTAGGTTCCTGCAGCAGACATAATGGTGTTTCCATGGTCCTGCCACATGGGTGACCAGCCCTTGCTCCAGAGCATGGTGATCTGACTTGGCTGGTAATTAGCCCATATTTTTAGTTCATGGGCAATTCTCAATGGTAACTGGGTCTATTAAACTTGATTCAGACGTGACAGCTTAAATTGTAAACAGCTGTGAAGACTTTCATACTTAATTACCATATTTAAGTTTTACCATAAAGCAGCCTCACTTCCATCAAAAATGTAAATGACGGAGACATTCAAATGAGATTTTATACTTCGTGAAGTTTAATTGGCGCAGATCAGTCAGTTTGGTGATTTTGAATTTTTTTTTTAAAGAGTTTTGAAGGCGGTGGCCCCAAATTTATTTCTCAATTAAATCGAATTGTCTGGTGGAGGCTGCTTAATCCTGAACTTGTCTGCAATTGACTGACTGCTTATACTCCGAGCTCTGGGCTGGGTACCCCAGGATTGGGCTAACAGGAGACCATAGCAGATCTCTGTGACAGTCGGGACCTGAGACGCCATCGCTGCCACCTGAGGGCTCTCTGTGAGCTGTGGCACCTCTCTTGATTGTAAGGAAGCATTCCCATGGGGATGGAAGCATGTGAGCTAGGGACACGTCCATCAGTAGATTCCAGAGGGAGGTGCGCGGGGCTGTGGAGCCCTGTGCTGGTGACAGGAGAGAGAGGGGGTTTGAAGTGGGAGCCAGGGCATCTGCTCATAGGCTGGCCACAGTGCTGGATGGCTTTTCTTCCTTAGCGTCACCGACATCCTGATTCTGCCACCCCCACCTTGCTGGGGTGTCGGTTAGCAGCTGCTGGCCCCCTCAGCGCCCTGTAGCTCTGACAGTGTGGTCCCTGTCTCTCTGGCTGTAGTTCAGGCATGGCTAGGCCTTTCCACTCCTGGCTTCTGTTGTCGTGTCAAGGGCTCTGAGGGGAGGGATCCTCCGACAACCCAGGAGGGATTCCCAGAAGAAGTGGTCCTCACGGTTGGTTTAGGTATGCCTGAAGGGAAGGAAAAAGGAGGGGGTGACCATTGTAGGAGGCACTGGACGGGGGGTGCTGCATTGGGCCCCAACTGCCTCTCTAGAGTGTGGCCTCTTTGTGCCCCAGGCTGCTGTGGGAAATGGAGGAGCTAGGTCTCTCCCTCCTCCCCTGGGCCTTCCAGAGCCTGTCACGGGGTGGGCGCCCCGGCCCTCCAGTTCAGACTTGCTTTTGCTGGCTGACACTGTGCCCATCCCCACCCTCACTTCCTGTTTTTCAGGCACAAGCCGTCACCCTCACTGTAGCCCAGGCCTTCAAAGTTGCCTTTGAGTTTTGGCAGGTGTCCAAGGAAGGTGAGTCTTTCCTCCTGGGCATCGTGAGTGATGTGAACAGGGTGGGTAGAGGCCCGAAGTCAGGCCTGAGCCTCATCTCCTACTGGGCTGGTGGTCTTGAACAGGTCCTCCTGCCTCTCTAAGACTCAGTTTCCCCATCTGGACAAAAGCCATCTTCCCCCTTCTTCAGAGTGTTCGGGCTTCAGTGAACTCTGGAAGGTGTCCTTCCTCCTGGTGGAGCCCCATACTGCCCGAGTGCCCTGAGCCTGCCTTCTCCCCAGTGGCTTACGGAGACAGCGTCTGTAGTGTCTCAGTGTGTCGTGCCTTCATCCCACAGAGAAAGAGAAGAGGGAGAAAGCCAACCAGGAGGGAGGCGACGCCTCAGGGACCCGATGTGACGGCACCTCCTCATTGAAAAGCTGTGAGTCTTGGCCCTGCGCCTGCCCTCCTGAGCTCTTGCTGTTGGCCCTGTTCTGTTAAATCAGCAGTACGTGTGCCGTGTGAGAAGATGCTGTTCTGACGCACACTCATCCGGGCACGTCCCCGCATATACGTGTCAACTCGTATGTGCTCCTGTGTGCTTTACCTGTTAGACATCCCAGCCTACTTGGTGCACTTTTTGTTAGTTTTCGGTTTTCAAGACTCGGTTTCTCTGTGAAGCCCTGGCTGTCCTAGAACTCTGTAGAACTCCCAGAGATCCGCCTGCCTCTGCCTCCCGAATGCCGGGATTAAAAGTGTGCGCCACCACTGCCTGACAACTTTTAAACATTCAGTTTATGTTATGAATATGCAGGCTCCAGGGTCTGCCCTCAGGAGCCACAGGTTCTCTCCTGTGGGCAACTGTCCTGTAGCTGGGGGTGGGTAGTGGGTGGATGGGGGGTGTCAAAATGGGGCTCCGGATGATCAAAGTCTGTCCTACATCTGGACAAGGTCAGAGTCCCAGAGCTAGTCAGGACTGGTATAGTGCAGGGGTACCGGAATGTGTCTGTGGAAGAAGCTAGAGGAGATGTATGTCCTCCTGATGCCGCCAACTGACCCCTCATAGTGGTTGCCACTGGAAACCTGCTGGATTTGGAAGAGGTAGCTAAGGCCCCGTTGTCTACAGTCACCGCTAACACCAACAACATGGACGAGACACTGCGGCCTCCAGTCTTGGGCAACAGCAGTGTTGTCTGGGTGAGTAGTTCTGTGGCCCGGACATGGTTTTTGGATCCCCTGAGTCTTAGCCAGGTCTCTGAACAAGCCTGAAGTGGTTCCCAGACCCAGGCTCTGACACCGTGACTTATGGGCCTCTGGCAGGACCAGACCCAGCCCATCAGGCCCTGGGTGGAGTAGCTGAACAATGTCCCCCAGCCCATCAGGCCCTGGGTGGAGTAGCTGAACAATGTCCCCTCTGAGCCCAAGGTTGTGTTCCCAGCAGGCCCGGTTCCCAGCACGGCCATCTCCTCCCAGTACTCAACTCTGAATCTGAGTGTCTGGCTCTTCCCTCTCTGATCAGCAAAGGCTCCCTTGTTAGCATGGCAGGTTTGTGCCTGGTCCCCCTCCCGTCCCAACTGTCTGAATGCAATGCCAGGCTGCAGGCTCTCAGGACTCATAGCCAGTGCCTGACCTCCGTGTCAGCCTTTTTACTCCCTCAGCGATGACACCGACCTTCCACAGCATCTCCCAGAGGAACCTGAGTGGCTTTTAATTTCAATTTTCATTTGGAGGTGGCTGACTTCAAACTGCATTACAAAAATAGCACCAAGATTCCCGGGCCCCATAGACACTTGAGCTGTTAGCATCCTCATCAGCACACGGCAGGGACCAACAGGACCGTGCTCGCGCATCTGCAGAGTGACACCCTGTGCTTGTCATAGCTCCCTCCTTTCTTTTTCTTTCTTTTTTCTTTCTCTTTTTTATTGTTGTTGTTGTTTGGGTTTTTGGTTTTGTTTGGTTTTAAGACAGGGTTTCTCTGTGTGGCCCCGGCTGTCCTGGAACTCACTCTCTAGACAAGGCTGGCCTCGAACTCAGAGATCCACCTGCCTCTCTAGGGAGGACACCAACCTTCCACGGCTTGGGACTCCAAGCCTGTGCCACAGGCCAGTTTCTCTCTTCACACGATGGCATGATGGGACTCCCGACAACTGTCAGGCCACCTCTGATGGGATCACCCTGGGTATCCCTTGTACCTGTCTGTTGCTGCCCAGTCCCCATGCCATTGCCATGTGTCCTAAAGGCCTGGAGGGGTTCACATAGCACTTAGCCCCGAGGGCTGAGAGGTCCTAATATCAGTTACCCTGCACTAGCGCAGGACTGTGGCTGGCAGTGGGCATGAAGGGGGTACAGGCAAGCCTTCTCTGTGCTTCCTTTGGGGCTGGAAAGCTGTGGAAATCATGTCCCCCAGTTTACAGAAGGAAAAGCTGTCTCAGAAGAGCTGTGACTTATCTGGGTCACTGAAGGTCCAGAGGCCTCAGACATGCCTTTTCTTTTTCTTTCTGTTTTTGAGGGGTGGAGTGGAGTAGGGGTTCTGAGACAGGGTTTCTCCGTGTAGCCTTGGCTGTTCTGGAACTCTCTCTGTAGACGCTGGCCTCAAATTCAGAGATCTACCTCCCAAGTACTGGATTAAAGGTGTATGCCACTACTGCCTAGCTGAGACATGCCTTTTCTTGTCCTGGGGCCCAGCTTTGGGTCCGTGGGCATGAGGGCTGCCTTTGCTAGGCACCTCCTCCCAACACAATACAGGCCCTGGGTCCCTGTAGCTCCCTTGGGGACCATGGCCCCGCTCAGAATTCTTACTTCTTTCTCTGTTTCTAAGGAGCTGGATGATGGCCTGGATGAAGCCTTTTCAAGGTAACACTCTGAGAACCTGTGCTGGGGATGTGTGTGGGCCTCAGGCTGGACCTGGCTACTCTTTACCCTCGGGCTTTGTTCTGACTGAGAACTTGAGCCCTCTAGCCGTCTACACAGCAATTCTTGAATTCCTCCAGGAAGGGAACTCTTACAGGGTGTCTCATGCATGAGAATGCTTTTTGTGGCAGGAGCAGCTTGTTATTTTGCAACATGTTGTGAAGAAGCCAGCAGGGGAGGACTGGGCCACTTGGGGTTCCTCGTCCAGTCTGGGTCCTCAGGGTCCTCAGGCCTCCCTTGTCTCCTTTGGATGTGCGGCACTGTCAGAGGCTGCCTGCCTCAGGGCTTTCCTTAGGGTTAGCGCCTTTGCCCTCTGGCCTTCCCCCTCTCTCCGCCCCTGGATGTAGCCAGGGTGGGCACCAGGTGAGGCCCTTCTCAAGGAAGCATCCCTTCCCCCACCTTCCCTGCTTCTGTGGCCAATTCCACCCACATCTGGAAAACAGTTTCATCTGTTTTTCCAGAATGTTCAGTTGTCGCGGGTCCTTACTAACCACCTCAAACAGATCCCTGTGTAGTGTGATCCCTTGGCCCAGACCGGCCCCCTGTCTGCTGAACCTGACCATGAACACCCCTTTGACCCATCAGCTCACAGTCCTGGCCCGGGGACTCTGCATGTGCTCACTGCTGTCAGAGGCCTTCCTCCAGGCGTTCACACACCCCAGGAGCCCCTCCTGAGGACAGGGCTGCCCTGTTCGGACCTTCCAGGTTCTTCTGGACATTAGGCTTGCCTCCTTGAGTGAGTGTTGGGAAGCACATGCCGACCTGGTTACGCCAAGTGTCATCTCATGGCCGAACACTTCCTGCCCACAACTGCCCTTTGTTAGAGTAGGGTATTGTGGCCTGCCCCAGGGCTCTGACCCTCTTGGGCATCCTGTTGTCGGGGGCTCTAGCTCTCCTGCTGAGCTTTGAGTCCGCCCTTTCCCACTCACACCCCCTCCCGTCTGTCCCGGTGTGGCTGTTCCCTGCCCCTGCCAGCCCCTCTCCTGTTGCCTGGCTCACACCGCTTTGTCTTCCAGGCTAGCACAGTCACGGACGAACCCTCAAGTCCTGGACACTGGGCTCTCAGCACAGGACATCCAGTATGCGCAGTGCTTGTCGCCCACCGACTGGGACAAGCCTGACAGCGGTGGCATCGATCAGGATGACTTCTTCAACTTCTGAGGGCCTGGGACCAGCAGGACACACTGGCCTTGACTTGTGATGGACCAAAAGCCACTTGCAGCAGGGTGGCCGTCTCCAGGAGCCGAGAGCTGCAGTTATCAGGGAGAGAGGGCAGAAAGGGCCGGGACTATCCAGTCAGTGACTCCTGGTCTACACTCGGAAACCAGGTTTGCTTCCGTCAGGCGCCCACGGTGTGTGCAGGGCAGGGCCTGGCCTCCTGGTGCCCCTCCTGCTGTGGGTGTCAAGACAACGACCAAAGCATTCCATGTTCCTTTTCTCCTCAGGCAGTGCAAGCCTGTCATTCTTTGTGCACTGGAGGGGACATGGCCTTTAGGGGAGCTGGGGCCCTCGAGTTCAGCTTCTTTGGGGCAGCCCCTGACCAAAGACACGTAGCTCTGCACTTTAACTCTCACAGAACGGACATGGGTTTGAGGTCCTCGCTGGTGCTGGGGAGTAGAGCCTGCCTCCTGCCCTCCCTCCACAAGAGGGCCACCGTCCCTGAGGTGGTCGGTAGAGTGCTAGGACCTAGTGTGCCAGCTGCCTGGACTTCCAGTCTCACCGCAGCCGTGGGGGTCGCCTCTGTGGCTCCCCAGCAGACAAAGCTGGGCCTGCTTTTCTGTTTTTGTCTGTGTGTCCTTGTGTGTGCTCCATCTTCTGCCCACCCCCCTCCAGTTCTGGGACGATACCAAAGCCTCGCACTAGGTTGTGGCAGAATATTTTTCATCCATTTTACAGATAAGGAAACTGAGGCAACACATGTTGGGAGGGGGGGTGGAGTTGAGAATAGAACCCAGGTCTGATACCAAAGCTGCTGTCGGTCCGCCCACCTCTCACAGCCCACGCCCCCCTTCTCTCCAGTTTTGTTGTCCTCCCAGGAACCAAAAAGCCCTAGCTATTTTCTGACCAAAATGTGTTTCATAACAATCCATCTGGTGCCTTTCCACACAGCGCTGGCTCAGGCCTCCATGCCCTGCTAGCTGCCACGCTGCTGACTTCCGGGGAGGTGTGTTTTGAAGTCTGTCGATTCCACGGGTGAAACGGAATCCTCCAGAAGCATCTTCCTGATGTGGCAGCCCCAGTGGTCCCCCCAACCCCACCCGGTGGTCGGGCAGTCCAGTGGTGAGCTGTTTTAGTCTCGCTGGTCCCATGGGCTCTGGCATCCTGAACCTCAGCCAAGCCACGAGCATCTTTGCATCGCTAGGAGCCCCCAGTGGCCGGGCTTATGAGAGCAGGTCTCAGTAGCCCCAGGAAAACCACATCAGCATGACTTAGTTCCCAGCTCTGGGTGCCTGAGTCAGACCCTTGCCTTAAGGAAGGCACTTGGAGAATCCTCACTAGAACAAGGGTAGCTCCTTTTCCCCAGCCAGCTCCAGGGTCCTGAGTGCGAAGGACTGCTATGGTGTTGGGTGGTGCTGTGGTCTTGACAGACTGTCCACTTCCTGTTCCTGCTGGGTGAAGCTGGAAAGGCGGCTCTGAGGAAGAAACAATAAATGTTCCCTTTTTATGTGTAAGCATCACTCCGCTCGGGGTTATTGATGGTGACGAGGGGCAGTGTCGTGGCTCCTGCCCTTTGGTGATGTGAGCAACAGTGTGTCCAGAGACTGGGATAGGCCACATGTCCTCGCGGGACTGGAATAGAGGGTGATGGCAGGTTCCCTGTTGATGAGCCGGCAGAGTACCTTTCTCTGCAACTGTCACTGTGTGGCAAGGTCACTGATGGGTGATGCATCAAGACCACACCAATGGTCCAGTGTGTCGACACTGACAGTGTTTCTAGCCATATGTTCTGATCAGACTCAGCCCCTGAGACATGAGTGTGTGAGGTGTGAGTGTGCCCATGTGCACCCCTTCCCAGGGACTGTATCGTTCCCATGACTCTCCAGTGACTCAGGCTTACTTTGCTACTCATGTTCTGGTCCTGGGCTCAGTGCTAAGGATGAGCATGTCCCATGTGAATTCAGCTTGTGTGGTGGCTTTGTGTGACGGGGACAGAGGCAGAAGGTGGGGGTTCAGTGATTTAAGAGACCTAAAGTCCAGCTTTGGCCCTGGGTTAGTTACCTGCTTCCTTGAGCCTCGGCTTTCCTGTCTGTAAACAGGGTACAGCAGTCTCTGAGGCCTATGTCCCTAAGTTTTGAGACTATTGACCATTACTGCATTATTGGTAGTTCATACCTCCAGCGGCTCACAGGTTATCTCAAAGGACATTGGATCGAATGTGTAAAGTCCCAGTGGACTCTGGGACAGCGAGGATCACCCTCAGTGCTCCTCCTGTATGCCAGCTGACTTACAGAAGTCCCAGAGAGCCCAGATGTCAGTGCTGAGGGCACTGGGCTTAGCTCAGAAGGTAGCCCTGGCCAGGGCCCCATCTCATGTCCTTAACCCTTATCCTGTCATGTAGGGATTTCCCAAGAGACAGTTAGGATTCAGCTGCTCATGTCCTCCTGCCCAGACTCAGTGACTATTCCAGCAAGGCTGCATTCCTCCAGTTCCCTGGACTTCTGTCCGGGGATCCCCAGCTTCTGCTGCTTCCTGTAGCTTGTGGGGGTCTCGGGCATTTCTGTAATAGTCCTATTTCAAGTGTCCAGAGGCAGAGTCTTCTGATGCCAGCCGACGAGCAGACTCCCTGCAGGGCCCAAGTGGATCAGAGCAGACTAAAGAATTCTTTCTTCTTTCTCCATAATTTGAAAAGACACCCAACAAGCTCATCTTTCGGTTTAAATTTGGCCAACGCGTTTAGTCTCCGGATGCCTCAAATTATGGCTCCTGAGCCCAGCCGCCCGCTCTTTCATGCATAACAGATGAAGTAGAACAAAGCCACCTTTCAGATTTGACGTGACCTTCAGCTCCTCTGGGTAGATGTTGGGTTGGCTCTCCAGGAGAAGCCATCACAATTAAACCCGGCCAGGGCTTTTCAGCTGCTGTGCCTGGGACACAGGCTTGAACCCGGCCTAGCTCCACCTCCCCCATGCAGCAGTCAGGGCCTTGTGCCCGACCTCAGCATGAGCAGTCTGCCTTGGCACACTAGGAGGTGGGTAGGTGGTCTTAGACTACTTAAAACATCGAATCTTCCGTTTACCTGACCATTTTATACATAGAAACATCATCTTGGTCCCGTGCACCCTACTCAGCCCTCCTGCCCGCCCCCCAACTCCAGCATATTCTTTTTCCCCCTTTTCCTTTTTTATAACCCCTGAGTCCAGTTAGTCCTGCCTGTTGAAGTGTTTGCTGGTCCTGTTGGCTTGATCTTGGGCAGGTGACCACAGCTTGGGTGAGTTCCTGAATGTGCTGTCCGTGTCCTGTCTAAATGCCAGCATTTCACGGCTCTCTTCCTCCCCCCAGCGCTTAGCATTGTTTGTGCTCCCTTTTCTACAGTGTGCTCTGATCCTTGGGGAGGGGTGTGAGAAAGGTTGGTACAGATCCCTGTCGGGCTGAGCACTCCCCAGTCACTGTCTCCGAACTTTGGCCCACTGAGTCTGTTAACGGCTAGCCGCTGCCGGTCACTGCCCAGAAGCCACCCCGGCCAAGGTTAAGGGCAGCACTGACCTGTAGGTATAAACATAAGTGTTTGGGTGGCAGTGTGACAACATGTCCTTTAGCAGAGCAGCAGTAAGTTCCTCCCTGGGCCTGGCACTGCCCTAACCATGGACTTTTGACCAGGTTTGTAGTGCCAGGCCTGAGTTCCCTCCTGCAGAGCAGGTCTCAAAATTGTTGGGTTATCCCCATAACCTTCATCCAGCGTTGCACCAGGGGACACATTGTGCATGGTAGGTCAGTACTGTAGCGTGCAGGGTTGAGTGCTGGGTAACGCTGATGTGTTTTCTACCCCCGGTGGCCTATATGGCTCCTTCCAGTGCTGAAAGCTAGTCAGCAAGGAGGAAGCTTTTGGGTCGGAGTTTGATCTCTGTGTCATACAACCAATGTGTGTCTCATGCACTAGAATCTTACCATCTAGTTTTGGTGACCTCTGGGACCTCCCTGACCAGTAGCTTGTAGTTAGGTATCCCATATAGTCTCACTTCTTAGATGGGGTATCTGAGAGACAGGAAAGATAAGCAAGCTGACTTGAGGCTCACATTCAGGAAGAGGTTAAGTCTGGGATTTGAACCCCAGGCTTTGTGAATCCAACACTGTTTCTGCCACTCTGCAGACCAGCAGCACCAGCAGTGGGCAGCATGGACCACACCGGGAGCTGCTGCTGGGGCCTGACTCCACAGGCAGCATCGGCAGGTGCCAACCACGTAGATCTTCTGTCAGCTGGGCTTCCTTTGCCTCTTCCCAGCTGGCTGCTCCCTCATGCTGCTGCTCCGGACATGCCCAACTTGGGGCTCTGCAGAACCATGTGCCCATTACAGCAGGCCCCATCTTTCCCAGTCTGCCAGCATGAGGGTATCTTACCACAGGAGAGACAGTGAATGCCAGTGCGGGAGGACTGGAAGGGAACACTTGTGTCCACACGGTTTGAGCTGCTGTAGAGTCTAGGTAGTGTCAGCCTGTGTGAGGTCAAGGCACTGAGGCCCATAGAGGTTACTGCGAGCCTGAGACTTAGATCCCATGTGTTCGCTGTCCTGGAGTGGCCCTGCCTCTGCAGGTCGCTAGGAACACTCAGAGAACGTGACCTTGCTTCCTGGGAGCTCCTGCCAGAACAGCCTTGACTGAATGCCAGCACAGTACTGCCGGGGCAGCTTGGAGCTTCCAGCCAGGACAGGTGTGGGCTGGGACAAGGCCATGCTGCTAGGCAACACATCTGCCATGTCTGCTGATGACCAGCTTGGCCTTGTCTCTGCACGACAAGAGGAGAGGCCTCCTAATCCAAGGGTTGGGGTTCATGGTTCCCAGAAGTCCCTGGTCACGCAGACTTGCCTACACCAGCGTAACAATGAGGAACTGAGTTGAGGGGTGTTGCATGGGATGCCAGGGGAGTGAGGGGAGTGGTCCAGTTGGACCTCAGAAGGAGTAGATTAGAGATACCCTCCATGGCTTGGTAGCTCTGATGTTTGGGGTCCTATCTGAGTCACTCCATGGCCAGGTAGATGCCCAGGCACTACCTGGCTCCATGTGGCTATGACTGAACCGTGGCAGAAGGGGTAAGCCCAGCCTAGGTTCCTGAGAGCCCTGTGAGATTGGGTAGCCCCAGGTCAGTGGCAGCACAGGTTTGTTGGCCACCAAGGTCCTGGTTCCACAGACTCCCCAGCGGGCACTGGTGAGGCTTTACTGGGTCGTCACTGCTCCCAGCTAGCGGCCCTGCAACCCTTCCTGGGCTGCTTTGTTGAAACTCTGTGGGGTCTAACTCTAGATCCTGACCAAAGATCTTGCTCTCCAAAATGTCTTCAAATAAAGGTTCTAGAATCTGTGTGTGTGTGTGTGTGTGTGTGTGTGTGTGTGTGTGTGTGTGTGTGTGTTGTGTATGTGGGCACAAGTGTAACATGCTGTGATGCACGTGTGGAGGTCAGGGAACAACTTTGTAGTGTGTTCTCTCTGTGTACCTTTATGTGGGTTCCAGGGATTGGAGTCATGCCATTGGACTTCAGGAGACTTTTATCCGATAAGCCATTTTGCTGCCCATTCTGGACTCTTATTGCCAGAGAGCCCTTTCGTTTATAGTCGGGAATGAAATCCTCAGTGGGCATGGGACTTACCCTACGGTTGAGAGGCATGCTGAGATGTGACCGTCTTCGGAAGCCCCTTGAGCTCTTAATGGAGAGGCCACTTTACTGAAGGAAGTGAGTAGGATAAGAAGAGTTTGGGGGAGGCCCCAGGAGAAAGCTCCAGTGTGTAGGAGCATCAGCTTGCAGCCCTCTCTGGCCCATTACTGTTTGCAGCTCAAACTGCCAGTCCAGGCGCCTGGATGACTGAACCGTGGCCACACACAGGGTGAGTGGGGGGTGCTTTGAACCCCAAATCTGTCACTAGGTCATTGCACACATGACTCAAATAGCCTGTATCTCTTTCCTCATCTGGAGGATAGGGGGTTGGTAGTCTGGTGCAAGGATTTGTGAGGAGCCACCGAATGAGCCCGAGTTAGTCTCTAAACTGTGCCAGAACACCCTGCTTCGTGGCTGTCACTGTTGGCTACTTTGTAGATGGCATAGGACAGTCTTGGGGAGACCAGGGTAAGAACCACCCAAAATATCAGAGTTGAAGTCAACCGTGCCCTGTGAGCTTCTGCCGGATGCTGTCCAGGTGTGCATTCTGTCCACCCACCCTCCAAAATTGTGCCCATAGGGAAAACGAGTTGGTTGTCTGGCCTGGAAGACATTCCCTCTGGATGGTTCAGGTGGAAGATACATAATTTGCTTAGAAAGTTATGGGAGGGTCGGGTGTGTGTGTCCCCTCAGGGTTCCGACTGAGGAGGCTGGAGCGGAGAACCGCTTCCAGCTAGCCACCTTGCGGTCTTCACATTGCAGAGTTGGTAGAAGCCCATGGAAGCTTCGGGCAAGGGATGGCAGGAGAATGTGTGCAGGTGTCCAGCCCCCGAGACACGGGGCCCCATCAGGCGGGAAAGAGTGCAGGGGCCAGGCTGCAGTCAGACACCTGGGGGGGGTGGGGACCCAAAGAAGACCTGTTGTGTCTTCTGTCTTTCCTTTTTGTTCTTTTGAGACAGAGTCTCTAGACCTTGGCTGGCCTGGGACTCATGGAGAACCCTCTGCGTCTGTCTGCCTCCTGGTTGCTAGTAGAGGCCTGATGCACCACCATGCCGACTACAGCCATTTGGTCTTCTGTGGGCTGTAGTAGGTGGCTCCTGGGAGGGCTTGAGGCTTAACCCCTTGGGAGTCTGACGACTGGAGCAGTGAGGCCCAGACCATGGTCCCCAGGTGCAAAGTCTTAAAACCAAAGGCTGCCACCCATCCCCCCACCCCGTTCCCAGATTGGAACAGGACCCTCACTTCCCACTTAGGGAAGACGGAATGTTTGGGCTCTGCAATCCTAAGTGAGCCAGACTTCTGAACTTGGTGGTCAAAACCAGTTAGGAGCCAAAGGATTCTGGGTTCATATCCTACTCCTGGTCCTTGTTGTTTCCATATCCTTAGCCAAACAGTGGCTCAGTGTTCTCACCTGTAGAATGGGAACCCACCTCATACTTAAGTGTGGAGAAATATAATCATCCAGCCTTCAGGCCCATCCTCTGAAGTGGGTACTGTTTCTGTCTCACAGAGGAAGCCGAGGCCCAGAGAGATCAAGACACTTGACCTGAGCCACTCAGCCGAAAAGGGGCAGGCAGCCTGAGATGCTGGATCTCAAACCTGATGGCTGATAGGGGGCATTAGATCAAGGGCAGCTGTCGTTAGAGCTCAGAGAGATGGAGTGATTGCTGGGGTCACACAGCAGGAAAGAGTTAGTCCAAGGGGGAGGCCGGATGTAACTATGTCATGTTCTCTCTGACGTCTTCCTCATTCCCATCCACCTGCCGTTAAAAACCGTGAAGGCAGCCGGGCGGTGGTGGCGCACGCCTTTAATCCCAGCACTTGGGAGGCAGAGCCAGGCGGATCTCTGTGAGTTCAAGGCCAGCCTGGTCTCCAAAGCGAGTTCCAGGAAAGGCGCAAAGCTACACAGAGAAAAACCAAAAAAAAACCATGAAGGCATCCCGATTGGGAGGGACACAGAAAAGCTACCCCAGGCCGGGAGACAGACAGGTCTAGGCACCTCCTCTTCAGATGTCTCATGGTCAGCAGAGCCCAACTCCAGGCCAGGGGTCTTGAGATGTGTGGCGTGGTGTGGAGAGGGCTGTGTGGTTCCCTCAGACACAGGTATCGGGGGCCTGAGTGGGGACAGGCCAGTGTTCATCGTCCCTGGGAGACTTCTGCCTATCGCAGATAATGGAAGGGAGGCCGGATGAGAGGAGGCCTCAGCTGGACCACAGTGTCCAGCTACGATGTCCATGTGAGGGTGGTGGCCAGACCCAGGCACCGAGTCACCCCCCAGCAGCAGGGCCCCCCCATCCTACACTGCCATTGCCAGAGATCAGGACAGAGCACGTCCCGAGTGCCACTTTATCGCTATAAGTTTGTCGATTCAGCTCATTACACTTAATTAGAATTATTTAATTAGAATCTTAATAAAAGAGTAAAACAGGAAGGAGGCTGGGAGCGGAGGTGAGGAGATCCGTGCCGAGCCTGTGAAGTAGACGCAGCTGGAGAAGTGCCGTGTGGAGGAGCTGCGAGGACCTGCTTGGAAGGTTGCACAGAGCATCTGTAGCAGATGGGGGGCCACCAAGGCACAGTCCTGACCGTGGACCGGGGAGGCCCTGGACTGGGCTTCAGCTATTCTTTACCAGGTGCCAAGCCCCCAGCTAGGGGAGTGGGCATGTGGTATGGGGCCCATTTCCTGTCGTCCAGGGACACCAAGTTCGCAGACTAGAAGAGATGGTTACAGAGAGAACAGACTAGAAGACAGCTGTTTACACAGATGGTGTGGGAGGCAGAGTCACTGCACCCAGAGGTGAGGTACCTGTCCTGGCCAGAGGTACCTGTCCTGGTCGGAGTTCGCACAGTGATAACGACACAGAGACCTGAATGCTGAGCCGTAGGTAGACAAGCGGGGAGGGAGGGATTGCAGGAGGTGTGGGTGAGGATGAGAGAGGAGGGAGCAGCATTTCAGACGGAGGAGGGGCAGAACACAGGGTCAACGCTCAGACCTGGGGCCGGGTGGCTTATGTCCGGGCTCCAGAGCAGGGAGGCTGTGATAAGTTCCCTGAAGCTCTGTCATCCCGTTTTCCTCCCCTATGGGTGAGGGTAACGATGGACTCCGCCTCACAGGGCTCCTGCGTGGAGAAGCCGAGCTAATATCTGTATAGCACGTGGGTAGAACAGGGTGCGCGGCCAGGGCCAGGTGCATGGGCTGACGTTCGTGCGGAGATGTCCCTTTAAGTGGTCAGCTACACAAGCCTGAAGCTCAGAGAGAATCAGGGGAAGCCGCGGATGGGGGGGAGAGCCACCCAAGCAGCTGTGACAGCATTGTTGCTTTCTGTCCCTCAAGCTCATCTTATTCCTTAAAGAGCCTTAGCCTAGTTCGGTGCCTTTGTTCCTTGGGGGTGGGGGTGGGGAGCAGCTCACACCATGGCTCCAGGAGAGATCCCTGCTGGGACCAAGCCCACAAAGATAGAGACAAGACCTGGCTGCACAATCAGCACAGGGTCCCCCGCCCCTCTCTCCTGGGCACAGAAGCAGTTGCTGGTCCATGCTTCCCTTAGGAAGCGCGCTGTACCCGGTGTGAATATGCCCGCCGTAGCTTATTCCTGCTGTAGGTAGGACACCCCCTGAATGGGGTGTGATGCACTCAGTCAGTCCTTATAAACCAAGAGCAGCTGACTTCAGTGCCCCCTTGATTGACATCATCCTGACTGGAGAGCAGCAGAAACGAGAGAGAAAACTCCCAGCAGAACTGGAGGGTGCCAGGAGCCCCCCTCCCTCTGGGCCTCACAGTTTCTGTTACTTTCAGCAAAATGTACCCCGCACATCACAGGGCCACAAAATGAGGGAAGGAAGACCCAGGGCTGCCCGGGCTGTGTGCCTGTGTACAGCTGGCAGAAGAAGAAGCTGTGAGCTCAGCCGCCTTTGGAATTTGTCCCCGCGAGGGATCTGACTTTGCACTGGTTTTCCACAAACCTCTCCGGCGGCGGCGGCGGCAGAAAAAGACAGAGAATTTTTAGCCCAGTTATATAAAGCGTTTCTCAGCCCCAGGCACAGACTGGAGCTGTGGATTTGAGGGTGAGTTCTTCCCCCACCCGCCTGGTGTCACAGAAGCGTCAAAATCCTCCTGCCCTCCACAGGCCGTGCGGACTCAGGTCCTCTGCCCTCCAAGGTACTTTTTCCCTCCCCGATGGCCACAGGCCACGTTTAATTAATAGAGTAAGTGTAATTTAATTAGCTCTTTCATCACCCACCACACCCTTCAGGCCATGAGATTCATGTCCTTGGATGTGTGGTGGACTTTCCCTTCTGTCCCGACTAGACCAGATCTTTGCTTCCTCAAACTTCCAGGCTACTTTCTTGGTGGAAAACAACAGAACTTACTGGAGAGACACCAACTTGCTCATGGAAACTACTGGAAAAAGCTGGCTCAAGAGGAGGTGGACTTCAGAAAAGGTTGTGGCTCCCAGTGTGGACAAGGTGCCTTATGGCTTCTGTTGTGTAAGGGAATGGGGTGCTCGCCGGGCATCTTGGCATGGCTACTGCCCATGAGCACAGCATCCCAACCTTGGCCTGTGGCACCTGCTTGTGCCGCCCTGTGGCACTGGCGTGTTCCCTGACATGAGGGCACGTGCGTGAGTGTCGGAGGTGGAGATAAGCCTGCTTCTGTCTGGCTGGGACCAATGTCGGCTTTTCACTTAAGACAGATGCACCTCCTGTCCCAGATAAGGAAGGGGGCTGGGTGCTAGGCAGGAAAAAAGACTTTCCCACTGAAAGAAAAGCAGCCATGTTCCACCTCGCCTCCACACAGGGTTATCATTTTAACAGTGTTGTCTCAGTTTAATCTTGACCGGGAACTTCCTGGAGCTGTCACTGGCATGGACCTGTTTTGTGGACTGGAGAAGGGTTCTGGGTCTTTGTCACTAACAGGCTTTTGGTGACAACAGGACAGTGTTGTGCTGTTGGGCATTGCCAGCCAGGCTTCTGGAGGGGGACACTTGAACTTTGGACCAACTGCAGTTCTTCAGGGCCCAGCTGAGGCAGGCAGGGGCTGCCCAGTGCCAACACTGTGGGCCTGCTTGGCACGGGTCCCAGGACAAGAGGGAACCGTTATGGAGACAGTGGCAGCCACAGCATGCCAGTTTCTCACCAGAAGCAAGGGTGTGTCAGGAATATGAGTTTCCTGTTGCCTCAGGGGTGTGGCAGTGTTGTGCCGAGGCTGGCTACCGCCCACGGTTGAGGTGGAGGGCCGACTGTGGTAAACTAGGGGCCACTGTGCTGAGTTCTGAGACCCACTCAGCCCACAACTGGGCATGCTCACAGAGCCTCCAGGTGGTGGCAAAGGTCTCCTCCATCAGACTGGCAGTCCCTGAACCTGAGGCCATCTCCCTCTCATTGGAGCTTTCCAGGGGTTGTAGTGTTTCCTCCTACATATCCAGAACTCCAGTGTACAAGCGTTCATCTCCCTCCAGGTTCTGAGGATCCCAAGGAGCTGACTGACTCCTTCCTCAGATTGGAGTGTATTGACAGCCGTGGACAGTAATCTAGGATCAGACACAAAGGGCGGGGCCAGCAGAACTGGGAGGAACCGGTTTATCCAGAAGGAGGCCCTGAGAGGAGTTAGGGCTTGCTGAGGTAATCCTCCAGCAGGGGCCATTCCCCCAGACAGCCTCCTAGCCAGGAATCCTGGGGTAACAGGGGTGAGGTGTGACCTCAGGAATGTAGTGCTCAGGGCCAGCAGAGGGGCAGCCCTGCTGGCCCGGGCTCAGCCCCAGCATGTGGCTGCCAGCTCCACCCCTCGGAGGATCCTGCACTGTTCTGCCTGGATGTTTTAAGTCCTTGGCCCTGCTCCTGGCCATTGTCTCATCCTACAGAGGCTGACAGATGTGCACAGCTGGGTGGAGGCGCTCAGCAAGATCCAGCTGGCTTTAGCACAAGCCTGAGCCAGAGAGCTGGGCTCTGGGTTCTAGGCCAGGTCCTCGCTTTGCCTTGCTGGGTGGCTCTAGGCTCAGGGCTGTCACCCCTGTGGGTCTTAGTTTCCCACTCTGTCCAGGGGGAGGGTCCCCTCATTCTTTCCTCAGACACTGACTTGGGCTGGGCCTTCCTTGGTCTCCTGGCTTCAGTATTTGGGGTGCATGGTTTGATTCTGGGTACTTATCCCCTCTATTTTACTTTAAAAAACAATTATTTTATTTTTATTTGTGTGTTGTATGTGTGTTTATATGTGTACATGCCACATGTGTGTGAGTACCTGCAGAGGCCAGAAGAGGGCGTCCGATCCCCTGGGGCAGGAGTGACAGGTAGTTGTGAAGGCCCCGACATCGGTGCTGGGAACTGAACTGGGTCCTCTGGAAGAGAAGCAGCCACCTTTAACCGCTGACCCATCACTCTGCCCCACCCGCGACAGTCTCATTCTTTTTTATTTTAGTTTCTTTTCCTCTCAAGACAAGGTTTCTTTGTGTAGCTCTGTCCTGGATCTCACTCTGTAGACCAGGCTGGCCTCAAACTCACAGAGATCTGCCTGCCTCTGCCCACTGAGTGCTGGGTTTAAAGGCGTGAGCTACCACTGCCTGGCCTTATTTTATTTTTTAGATTTGTTTTATGTGTGAGTGTTTTTTCTGCGTGTATGTGTCTATACCGTGTTGTGTGCCTGGTGCGGGAGGCGGCCGGAAGAGTGTGTGGGTTTCTTGGAACTGGAGTTACAGATGTTTGTGAGCTGTCATGTGGGTGCTGGGAACTGAACCCAGGTTCTCTGCTAGAGCAAGTGCTCTTAATGGCCCGAGCCATCTCTGCAGCCCCACACCACTCTCCAGAGGCTGCTTGCAGGGCCTGGCTAGAAAAAGGAGCTTCAGTTCACTCACTTGCATGTGCCCATCTCTTCCGGTCTTTAGGCTGATGCCGGTGTCTAGCCTATACCATCTCTCCCCCTCAGCAGCTTCCTTTAGCCTTCTTGCAAGGGCAGGGTTACGAGCAAAAAATTCCACCCATTTTTATCTTTTGCACAAATCCTTGTTTCTTCACTTTGTGTGTATGCCTGTATGGTGTGGGTGTGAGTGTGGCACACACATGTTTGTGTGTGTGAGTGTGGCTGCACAGCTGAAGGAAGGGATGTGAGTGTGGAGGTCAAAGGTCAACCATGGATGTCCGTCTTCCCCGACCTTGTTTGAGAGGGTTTCTTTTTGTCCTTCACCACTGTGTACCCCAGGCTAGCTGACCTGTGAGCTCTGATGGCTTCTCCTGTCTCCACTCCCGCCTCACTGTAGGAGTGCTGGGGTTGCAGAGGCGTACTCGTGTGCCTGGCTTTGCGCGGGTCCTGGGGATTCAAACTTTGGTCCTCACCTTCTCACAGCAAGCAGTTTACCCACCTCTTCTCCTCAGCCCCTCCCTTCACTTTTAAGGGCAGTTTCCTGGGGTGCAGACTTCTAGGGTGGTGGGTCCTTTCCTTTGCGCACTTTAAATAGCCCCTGGCGTGCCCTTCTTGCTGGCGTAGTTTTTGAGGGGTGCGACACGGTGACCTTCGCGCCATTGTCTTTGGCTTCTCTGGGGACGGTTTCCGTCACCTTTGGTTTTGTGTTGTTTGCAGTCAGTGTGCACAGGCGCAGCTTTGTTCTGTTTGCTTGTTGGGTTTTCTCTCGGCTTTTCTCTGTGGTTTGGTGTCTCACCTTACCGTGGGTATGTGATAACTTACAGGTATCACTCCTGGTCCTTTTTCTTTCTCGTTTCCTCCTGGTACCCCCTTCGTGTGTGTGGGACCTTCTGTCACCCCAGCACAGACACCAGAAACCCCCATAGCATCCCACCTCCACCGCTCACTACAGTAGCCACCACTGCCCTGCTTTCTGGCTGGTGTGTGCTCATCGATCCCGGCTTGTCATGGAAATGCAATCGCGCACTCCGTGGTGTCTCTCTCACTTAACATAGTGCCTCCCAGGCTCAGAGTGTAGATGCCTCATCCCTCCCTTCCCACCATGCCCCAGCTGGGGTAGAGCTCAGAACAGGACCTCAAGGGCGGGGGCTGAACCCATCTCTCTGGTTTAGCCCCACCCGCTGCCAGGACCCCAGCTGTGGCAAGGGTCCACATGCTTGCTCACTGCAGAGCACGTGTGTACTCTCTGGGGCACTGTGGAATCCCAGCCCCCACAGTTTCTCCATATGTGTTACTCCTTAGCCGCTTCCCCCTCCCCCTCCTGCCTGCAGTTACCAGTGTGTGGCTCCTGCGTGTCCCTCGATTGCCTGGGTGACAGGAGCCCTCTTGGGTGAGTATCAGAAGGCTGCATGAGCTCAGCTCCTTTCCGTGACCCCTACTGACCCTCAGCGCAAGTTAGGCCCGGGCGGGCAGGCTGTCCCTGGCTGTCCCTTCCACTCTAACACTTACACATCACAACACACACACAAACACATTGTTCTTAGGCTGCCCCGGGGATGGGACTGTCTGCCATACCAGCCAATAGTCCCAGGAAGGAAATTTCCTTTTACTTTATTTTATGTGTATGAGTGTTCTGCTTGTGTGTATGTCTGTGCACCATGTGTGTGCCTGGTGCCCTGGGAGGTCAAAAGAAGGCACTGACTCTGGAGTTATGGATGGTTGTGAGCTAGGACTTAAACCTGGGTCCTCTGTAAGAAGTGCTCTTACATGCCGAACCATCTCCAGCTCCTCGTGCATTTTTCCTGATGGCCCTCCCCTGGGATTGGCTGGGAGGAAATCTTCAGTTTCACACCTCCAAGGTACAGCAGGAATCCTAATTGGTCTTAATAAAAACCCGGAGTCAGATATCGGGGTAAATGCGGACAGATCAGAGAGACAAAGGAGCAAGCCACAGCCACCTCTTACCTCGCCAACTCCTCAGCCCGAAAGGGGTGAGCGCCTGTCTCTGGCCTTATGTTCCTGTTTCTGCCCAGCCATATCACTTCCTGTCTCTATCTCCCTAGTGCTGGGGTTAAAGGTGTGAGCCACCACCGTCTGGCCTCTGTGCTTAACTGGTGGCTAGCTCCAAACTCTGCTCTCCAGGCAAGCTTTATTTGTTAGAGCACGAACAAAATATCGCCACACCAAGGAATCTCTGTCCCTTACTCCAGTCTTCTGAAAGGGGAGGGGGGAGGGGACCAACCCTCCCGCAAGGAGCTCTGGAATGAGTATCTGGCCTCAGCTGTTTGAGCTCCCACTGCCCCGATTTGGATGCTTAGCAATGTTCTTGTGCTGGGCATGGAACCCAGGGCCTAGATCCCTAATTCCCGTGTATGGGGTGCGTGTGTGTTTGCACAGTGTATTTGTGTGTGTGTTGTGATGTGTGCATGTAGTGTGTGTGTGTGTGGTATGTGTGTATGTGGTGTGTGTGTGTATGTGATGTGTGTGTATGTGGTGTGTGTGTGTGTGTGTGTGTGTATAATGTATGTGTGTGCATGTGCCTGCCAAACCATGTACACAAGGCGAGTTTTCTTCCCCTCACTGGGGCGGTCTCTTGTTTCTATGTTATATGCTCCAGGCTAGCTGGCCTGTGAGCTTCTATTTAATTTTTCCATTTCTTCCTTCCACGTTGCTGTAGGAGCGTTGGGATTACAGATGTGCACCACTGTCTCTGGCTTTTTACGTGGGTTCTGGAGATCAAACTCAGGTGGCTGGACTTGTATAGCAAGTGTGTTTATCCGCTGAGCTGTCTCCCCAGCTTGTGTTCTTTCCTTCCTTCCTTCCTTCCCTCCCTCCCTCCTTCCTTCTTTCCTTCCTTCCTCCCTCCCTCCCTCCCTCCCTCCCTCCCTTCCTTCCTTCCTTCCTTCCTTCCTTCCTTCCTCCCTCCCTCCCTCCCTCCCTCCCTCCCTCCCTCCCTTCCTTTTTCTCTCATTTTCTTTTCTTTTTCTTCCTCCTCCTTCCTCCTCTTCCCTTGTCCCCTTTTTGTGGTACTAGAGATTGTGCCCAGGGCCTTGTCTGAACTAAGCAAGTATCCTACCGCTAAGCTACATCGCAGCCCTGTTTCTTCATCTTAAATAGATCCAACCAACTTTCCTGTCAGACGTACGGCCTCTGGAGAATGCCGCGCCTCACGTGGGCTTTGGTCTTCTGATGAATGCCCTTCTCTTCGAGTCCATCTCTGCCTCCTCACGATGCAGTGTCCCTTCCTCCTGGAGGTTCCCCAAGCTCCTCGTGGTGGATGTCAGACTCGGCATGCCCGTCCCCCTTTCATGAAGGAAGGGACTTGATTCTCCAGGTCTGGGGCTGTTGGGCCTGTCCAGGGTTTTCTGTGTCTAATGAGTCATCAGTGAATGTTGGGGTGGGAATAAAAGACTCACCCACCCCAACTAACCCAGGACAGCTATAGCTCTTTAGCACCCCCTAGAGTCTGCCAAGATTGGCACTGGACCGGTATAGCAGCTCACCCTTGCCCCCACCTTTTACTGTCCCAGAGATTGAGTGTAGGGGTCCCTCATCTGACCCCCACTTCAGATTCTGCCTTGTGTAGCTGGAGCTCATTGGGAGCACCAATGGAGAGGCATCCATAGTCACCATCCTCGCCACAGAGGCCGAGCTGTGGGTGTCCATGGTCACTCTTCTCAGCATAGGTTCTCAGCAGGACTGTAGTTTCAACAGAGAGTGGAGAGCCAGATATGTCCCGGTCTCTGCGACAAGGCCCCGCCATGTGCTGTTGGCTGAAGAAGGAAAGAGAACATATAGCTTCTCTAATGAACCAGAGATCTCTCAAGGGCTGGAGTGAGGAACACTGGGGAGGGGAGGATGCTTGCCCAGCATCTTGGCTCGTTTTATGTCACATGACTAGGCTAAGCCTACCCAGACAGCCATTGAGCCCATTGTTACTGGGTGTGTGTCTGTGACGTTAACGTCCAGGTGAGATGAACATTTGGGTCTGCAGGTGGGCCACCAGGTAGGTGGCTTCCGTCCATCCCCAAGACCCTGAAAGAGCTGACAGGCGCAGAGGATGACATCTGTGTTGTGCTGGGACGTCCATCTCCTGTCCTGTAACACCAGAGCCTCCGGTACCCCAGCCTTTGGGATGGGACTGGTTAACCCCAGGAATGGCACCTGGTCACCAGGTCGATAGCTTGTAGATGCAGACAGTGGGGTTTCCCAGCTCTCACGACTGCACGCACAGGCTGAGCTCTGTGGGTCTATGAGTTCTACACCCTCTGTAGCTGTCTCTATTGTCCAACCTTGTTCTGCCTCTCCAGAGAATCTGGGTTCACTGTGGAGGCCCAGAGCTGTGTGCTGTGGACTGTAAGTCAGGCTCTTCCGGACCCGTCCCTCACCAAAGCTACTCATGCCACGAGGGAAGGACCTGAACCTGCTATGTTCCCTGCACAGCCATTACTGTGGACAAACGCACGGCCAGGTCAAGAGGCCAGAACGGAAGAGTGGTTTCCATAGCTGGAGCTTTGTGTAAGGCAGGATGACCGGGGAGGAGCACTCCTGGAAGATCTTCCTTAGGAAAGGCAAAACCCCTCAGAGGTCTATTAATAGATCCAGTGGACAATCGGGAGCCAAGGTGAATATTAGTGTTAACAGGAAGCACTGGGGATAGGCTCTGGCGGGCTCAGACACTCAGTGGTTGCTGGATCCAGACAGAGAAAGGCTACTTCTGTTGGCTCTGGGCATATTCTCAGCCTGGGGCCTGAACCCAACACTGCTGTTGCCTGAGGGGATCCCCAGTTCCAGCTCCCCGGTTCTTCGTGTCCCTCAAACGTATCAAACCTGTTGGCATCTCAGGCTCACCCTGACTGTGGCTGTCCTTCCTCCCCTCTCTTCCTTCTGGTCTCTGGACAAATGCCACTCCTCAGAGAGAACTTTTCTGACCTGACCTAAAATGTCCCCACCACCACTTAAAAAAACAAACAAACAAACAAACCCTCCCACGTGCCCTTGAACTCCTGATCCTCTTGCCTTAGCCCAGAAAGGTGAGGGTATGGAGGACCTCCGCATCCGGCCAAAGTTTTAATATTCTGAAATACTTGCCTAACTTCTTCATTATACACACAGGTATATTTTCATTTCATTTCTTCAGTCCAACTCCTTCATTCTAGAGGGGAAATCAGACACAATTTTAAGTTTTTTGATTTAAAAAACCCTCAAGGTTGTCTTATTTATTGCGATCTCTCCAGCACCCATATCCTTCAGGGGACACTGAGTGTGCCAGCTGAGTAAGTGAATGGCAGTGGGGCACAGTGCCTGGGCAGCTGGTGGCTTGGCCGTTGCCCCACACAGAGAAACCCTGTCTCAGAAAACCAATACAGAATGGATGGGCAAAGCTCTTCACCTGTGCTGTTTACGTAATTTTTGTTGTTGTTGTTGTTTCTTTCCTTCTTTCTTTCTTTCTTTCTTTCTTTCTTTCTTTCTTTCTTTCTTTCTTTCTCTCTCTCTCTCTCTCTCTCTCTCTCTCTCTCTCTCTCTCTCTCTCCTCCCTCCCTCCCTCCCTCCCTCCCTCCCTCCCTCCCTCCCTTCCTTCCTTCCTTCTTTCCTTTCTTTCTTTTTTTTTTTTTTCGAGACAGGGTTTCTCTGTGTAGCCCTGGCTGTCCTGGAATTCACTATGTAGACCAGGCTGGCCTCAAACTCAGTGATCTGCCTGCCTCTGCCTCCCGAGTGCTGGGATTAGAGGCGTGCGCCACCATTTGAAATAAACATGGCTGTTTAGAATGAAACGCTTGTAGCTACAGCATCCTCATTGGGTCACACACAGGCAGAAACATAAAATTAACCCCCAGAAACACAAACTATCGTACCACACCGCCTGCCTGTCAAAGGATCAGCCTAAAGTCTGCTTTCTTTAGTAGAGAGATTCATGCTCGTCAGGGAGTGTTAGACATGATGGCAGCAATGAAATGTTCTTTTGCCAGTGTGATTTTTAGAAATACTGAAGCAGAATCCCAAAGAGAGCATCTCTCTCGCAGTGTGACTCGCTGCGGCCTCAAGCTGGGTCTGGCTTCCTTTTAAGATTATTCCAGGGGCTGGAGAGATGGCTCAGAGGTTGGGAGCACTGACTGCTCTTCCAGAGGTCCTGAGTTCAATTCCCAGCAACCACATGGTGGCTCACAACCATCTATAATGAGATCTGGCGCCCTCTTCTGTATACATAATAAATAAATAAATCTTAAAAAAAAAAAAAAAAAAAAAAAGATTATTCCAGTAACTACACGAAACCATCTTATGTGACCAGAGGTGCAACCGCAGATAGCTGTGACATTCTCGGGGGGCGGGGACGTCTCTGAAGGGGAGCAGGGCATGGAGAAGACACCAATCAGCATAGCCAGGGAGACCTAGCAAGCCATTCACTCCAGTTCTGTTCGCTCCCTCTGCTAAGCACAACCCTTCTCCATCCCTCCACCTACCAATGGGACTCCCACCCCACCCCCACTGCTCTCTGGCTTACCTCCCAGCCCTGCCCAGCCCCCAACCCACTTTTCCCAGGAGCTCACCCCTCAACTTCTTCCTCACTCTCTCCACCCAATCAATACTCTCTGGAAACTCAATATTCTTTCCTGTATGCCTTTCTGCTCACCTGCCCATCTAACCACCCAGCCAACCTTCCTTCCATCTGTCCATCCAGCCGTCCCACACACCTCATCCTCGATCCCTAATTTTTCTGTTCTTTCTAGAACAAAACCCAGAGTCATGACCTCAATTATTTCTTTAAATAATATAATTTATTTGTGTGTGTGTGTGTGTGTGTGTGTGTGTACATGAATGTGTGTGTGTGTGTATATGATGTGTCTATGTGGGTGCATGTGCCACGGCATGCATGTGGAATTCATAGGAGAGTTTTGTGGAGTCGGCTCTAGGCTTCTCTCCCTGCATGGGTTCCAGGATCAAATCCCGGTTGTGAGGGTTTTGAGTGTCTTTAACCATTGAGCCATCTCACTGGCCCCTCTTTCCAAGCTTCAGCCGTTCCCGGATTGTCCTTTTGTGTTTCAGAGGTGAAAATCATGTTATTCTTGCTGTCCCCACCTCCCCACATTCTCCCCGCACGAGTCTTATTCTCCCATAACCTTACAGGGTAGAGTCCTAAGTCATTAGCTGAAAGGGATATAGAGAAGGCACACCCAAAACTTCCCAGAGTCGGGACAATCAAGGTCTCGGGTAGGTGATGCTCTCAGGGGCCCCCTGACTGAAGGTGCAGCCTGAACACAACATGTACTCTGGCAGCTAGTGTTGAGAACTGTTTCTTTCCCAAGGCAAATCTTCCAGCCTGGTGTGGAGGTGCAAGCCTGTGATCCCAGCTGCTTGGGAAGCTGAGGCAGGAGGATTGCAAGTTCTTGCTGAACTTCAATGGGAAGCCTGTCTCAATAAAAATAAAAAGTAGGGGCTGGAGAGCTAGCTCAGTGATAGAGAGCTTGTCTACCATGCCTGAGGTCCTGAGTTCAATACCCAGCACCATAAAAACAAACAGATAGGGGGCCAGAGAGATGGCTTAGAGGTTAAGAGCACCGGTTGCTCTTCCAGAGGACCCTGGATCGATTCCCAGCACCCACATAGCAGCTCACAACTGCCAATAACTCCAGTTTCAGAGAGTCCAACACCTTCACACAGACATACATGCAGGCAAAACACAAGTGCACATAAGAAACCAACCAACCAAATAAATAAAACAAGAGACAGATAGACAGTAAAAAGGACGTTGGGACTACAGCTCAGGGGTAGTGTTTTTGCCAAGCACACACAACACCTTAGGTTCAATCCCCTATTCCGCAGAAAAAAGGGGGCGTGGAAAGAGCAACAGGGGGCTCAACACCCAGCCTTGCCTGGAGACCTTTGACCCCTCACTCCTGGCACACTCAGGGTTCAGAGGCTTGCCAGCATCTCCTGGTGCAGCTCTGTTGGTTTTCTCCTGGCCTTTTGCCGCTGGTGAACTTGCCTTTGTGTAACCGACCACCGTGTCAGTCGGTGTCTTAGCTGCTTTTCCTGTTGTCGATGATAAAATGCCAACAAAAGCAATGTCAGGAGTTGCTTTGGGCTTGTACTTCCGGGGTAGAGTCTGTCATGATGGGAAGAGGTGGCGTCGGGAGCCTGAGGCAGCTGGTCACATTGTGTCCGCTGTCGTGAAGCAGAGAACAGTGAATGTCTGGGCCATCTCACCTTCTCCTTTGTGTACAGTCCAGAATCTGAGCCCAGGGGATGATGCTGCCAACAGGGGGCAGGTCTTCCCAGTTGTTCTGAATACTGACTGTGTGATCTTGGATAAATTGCTTACCCTCTCTGGGTCCCACTTTCCTAATTCTGAATGAATGTGTAAAATAATAGGAATGTCAGAGAAGACACCTGGGCTGGGATATAAAGGAAGAGAGAAAAAGGAGGAAAGAGAATTGCAGGCAGAGGGAACAGCATGTGCAAAGGTCCTGTAGCAGCAAGAAGCAGAGTTAGGATCCGAAAGATGTGCCAGGACTGTGGAGGTCCCGGAGCTTGGTGTCTGGGCAGCTCCCCACTGTGCCTTCCCACCCAAGAGACTAAAAGTGAGGTGGCCCTGAAGTGAGGTACAGACACGGTTTAGGCCCTACTACAGTTTCAATATTGACTGTCCTCCAAGGTCCATGTTTGGAAGGGCTGGCACCCAGAGTGGCACCGTTGGGAGGTGGGGCCTAGTGAGGTGCGTACTGCTCTTGCAGAGGACAGGAGTTTAGTTCCTAGCACCCATGTCTGGCTGCTCACAGCCTCCTGTAATGCCAGCTCCAGGGGATCGAGGACCCCTCCTAGACCCCAAGGGGCACCTGTGTGTGCCCAGACCTACTTACAGACAATATGGCTACACACAATTTAAAAAATAAAAATAGCTGGGCAGTGGTGGTGCATGCCTTTGATCCCAGCACTTGGGAGGCAGAGGCAGGCAGATCTCTGTGAGTTTGAGGCCAGCCTGGTCTACAGAGTGAGTTCTGGAACAGCCAGGGCTACACAGAGAAAACCTGAAAAAAAAAAAAAAAATCTAAAAAAAAAAAAAAAGAAGGTCTGGGCACCACATTAGTGCCTGATGCCTTCAGAGGCCAAAAGAGGGCATCAGATCCTCCAAAACTGGAATTGCAGATGGTTGTGAGCTACCATGTGGGTGCTGGGAATGGAACCCCTGTCCTCTGGAAGAGTAACAAGTGCTCTTAACCATTGAGTCATCTGTCCAGACCCGGCAATATATTTCTTTAATTTAAAAAAAAAAAAAAAAAAGAGCTGGGCTGTGGTGGTGCATGCCTTTAATCTCAGCACTCAGGAGGCAGAGGCAGGTGAGTTTTAAGGCCAGCCTTGTGAGAACTCTGTGAGTTGGAGGCCAGCCTGGCCTACAGAGGGAGTTCCAGGACAGCCAGGGCTACACAGAGAAACCCGGTCTCAAATCCCAGCCCCGCCCCCCAAAAGAAAGAAAAACAGAGAGAGAGAGAGAGAGAGAGAGAGAGAGAGAGAGAGAGAGAGAGAAGAAGAAGAAGAAGAAGAAGAAGAAGAAGAAGAAGAAGAAGAAGACGACGAAGAAGGGAAGGAAGGAAGGAAGGACGGAAGGACGGAAGGAAGGAAAGAAAGAAAGAAAGAAAGAAAGAAAGAAAGGAAGAAAGAAAGAAAGAAAGAAAGAAAGAAAGAAAGAAAGAAAGAAAGAAAGAAAGAAAGAAAGGAAAGGGGCCAGGAAGACAGCCCAGCCAGGCCAGGTATTGCTAGGCAAGCCTGATGACCTGAGTTGGATCCCCAAAACCTCTGAGGAGGGAGAGATAGACCCCTGACCTCCATACCCATGGTGCCCCCAATCTTACACACTAATAATAAATAAATCCATTAAAATAGAACTCCAGCTAAGTAGAAATTTCAGGTCTATCACAGACGAGCTGTACGCAGCGCCCACAGTGCCTGGGGTGCAGTTATAGTTAAAACAATCCATTGCTGATTTGAAACTAAAACTTAGCTGGACTCTGCTGTTTTCACTGGTTAAGTCTGGAAACCTCAGCAGCAAAGGCCGCTGTCCCTGTCCCTGAGTTGTCCTCTCTGCTGAAGCCGATTCTCTCCAGTGGGACAGCAGGTACAGTGACCTCTCTGGCTTTTGTCCTCTGGCACAGTGGCCAT